AGCACCAAAGGGGAAACCTGTTGAAGTGAAATGGACACTATGAGAAACAGTGACTTGATCAGCTCTTGTCCTGACTGTTGAGGTACAATTTAATACTTTATCCATTTTAGTATTTTTTCTTTGTTTTGGTCTAGTACTATTGGTTGAACTCTGTAATTAACACACAATTATACTTAGGTGTTTAAATTTTAACTGAAAAGTGATCCCTGTTAAATATAAGAGTAGGAATAAGAGAGGGAGGAGATGTACAATTTGGGACATACTCAATCAGACTTGCCCCAAATGGTGGAGTTAGAATCGTGCCAGGGGATTCCAATTCAATCCCATCAAGGTGGCATGTACCAATGCCACCTCACTAGTCCAAGTGATCAACTTCAGTTCACAATTGATCACACTGATAGGTCTAAGAGTAAAAGGGATCACACAAACAAGACTAGTGTCTGCAAATACTAACTGATAGAATCAAAAAGGGAGAGAATGATCCAACATGGGAAGCGGGATACTCAGCAGACTCATAGAATGGCAGATGTCCTAAATAGCACTCTGGCCTCAGAATCAGCCCTTAAGGCATTCGGATCTGGCTGAAGAGCCCATGAGAGTATTTCTGGCATGGAAAGCCAAGACACTGGCAAAAAAAAGACCTAAATGAAAGATCTCTACAAGTGAGATCCCAGTGGAAAGAACAGGTCATCAAAGAAGGAGGTCCCTTTCTCTGAAGGGAGGAGAGAACTTCCACTTTGACTATGACCCTGTGGGAATAAGATCAAAGTTGGCGAATTCAACAGGATTCCATAGCCTTGGCAACTCATGACTAGAGCCTAGGGAGATTACTGACGCCATAAACAAGAGTGTCAAATTGTTAAGTCAACAACAGGAGTCACTGTGTACTTACTTCTCATGTGGGATTTGTCCTCAATGTGTTGTCCAATGTGAAGTAATGCTATAACTAGTACTGAAACAGTATTTTACACTTTTTGTTTCTGTGTGGGTGCAAACTGATGAACTCTTTACTTAATATATACTAAATCAATCTTCTGTATATAAAGAGAATTGAAAATGAATCTTTATGTGAATGGAATGGGAGAGGGAGCAGGAGATGGGAGGGGTGCGAGTGGGAGGGAAATTATTGGGGGGGAAGCCATTGTATTCCATAAACTGTACTTTGGAAATTTATATTTACTAAATAAAAAAAAACTGAAAAAAAGAAGTAATAAAAAAAAAGAAAATATCGCTTTGTAACTTGCTGAACTTAATTTGTAATTTCTTTTAACAGGTTTCTGGGTAATCAGTAGTCAATGAAACAGCAATGGGTAATTAGTACTTGTTTTAGATGAATGCAATTTTAATTTTAATTGAATTCAAATAGAGATATATCATATCATCATCTTAAGTCATTTAGGTGTAACTGCTAATTTATTGTAAACTCTTGTATATTCAGCATGTTAAATTTGTGTTAAAAATGTTATAGAAATGTGCATTTGGTAAGGAAGGTTAAAAGGAAAGAGTTTTTTTTTTTTTTTTTTTTTGACAGGCAGAGTGGACATTTGTGGGGAGCAAACCGGACTAGACTGTTACTGGAATTAAGACTTATTCTATGCATCTGCTCTCCCACAATATGGCGCTGGGAGAGAAGTAAACAGCTTCCGCACAGCTGCCTCCAGTTCAACCAATTAACTGTAGGACTTGCTCCTGATTGGAGAGCAGCGTACTCGGCGTGTGGGCAGCCGAGTTAGGATTGGCGGAGGAGGACTATAAAGGAGGAGAGAGACGGCATGCACCAGGAACATCTATGGGGAACATCTAAGGGAACCCGTGCAGCCCCCAGAGAGCCGGCCGGCGGTGTGCCGCTCCCCTGCGGAAGTGGGGAATGTGGCCAGGGGGAACTGCCCTTCCACAGAGGTGGAAGGGATAGTAGCCAACCCGGGAAGAACCAGCAGCAAACCCGGGGAGGGCCGAGCAGACGAAAGAACAGCGCAGGGTCCTGTGTCGTTCCTCCACGAAGAGGGGGAGCGACAGACATTGAGAGAGAGAGACAGAGAGAAAGGTCTTCCTTTGCCATTGGTTCACCCTCCAATGGCCGCCACGACCAGTGCGCTGTGGCCAGCGCACTGCACTGATCCGAAGGTAGGAGCCAGGTACTTATCCTGGTCTCCCATGGGGTACAGGGGGCAAGCACTTGGGCCATCCTCCACTGCATTCCCTGGCCACAGCAGAGAGCTGGCCTGGAAGAGGGGCAACCAGGACAGAATCTGGTGCCCCGACCGAGACTAGAACCTGGTGTGCCAGCTCCGCAAGGCAGAGGATTAGCCTAGTGAGCCACGGCACTGGCTTGGAAAGAGTTAATTTGAATAAAGAAAGGACAAAGTTTGTAAGATTGACTTCATCCTTATGGCTAGTTTACTCTAGACTGGAATGGAAATGATGGAATGTTTCAAGTAAGTTGAAGAGGGTGTGTGGAAGTCACAGGTTATGAAAGAAAGAAATCTTGGATCTTAATGAGAAAGCCACAGAGACCTAAAGAGTTAAATGTTCTGTAAAATCCTACAGATGCTTTCAAAAATGCTATGTGAAGTAAGCAATTGCCTCTTGTTGAGTTTATAATAAGTTTATAATTTTAAACGTGGCAACTTAAAGTCTTTTGTCATTCACAGTTTTATATATCAGATTTGCTGCTCATAAAACTAAAGTGTTGTTGGTTCTGTGTTTAGCTGTCCTCTTACAGATTCTGATGGACTTTTTCCAGCCATTTCTATTTTATTCAGTACTTTGGGACGGTGATGTAAACAGATGAAGCCAATAATGTATTATAGATACCAACTGAGACAAAGTATGGTTAGCTGAGGTTGCTAAGAGCAGAAAGTAATTCGAATCAATTGGTAAATTAAAAAACAGTTAAAGAGTTTAAAAAGCTAGTATTGAAGCTGCTATTTTTGTTATCTAATGATTGAAACTGCTTTCTAAGTTTTCATTTGATATTGCTATTGTCAGTAAGTGATCTGGGACTGGCACCCCCATTTCTCTATTCTAAGTCCAACTTGTTCTCTCATTTCTCTATTCTCTTTGAGGTAGGAAACTAATTCTATTCTGAAGGACTCTCAAAGGTGCACGATTTGATTTTTAGATTAGAGATGGGACTTGAGCACCCCCTTGACTTGCATCCTCTGGTCTGCTTTAACAAAAACCAGGAGGAAGAGAAAGCCAGGCATCAGAAATGTAAAGATGGGTGGTAGCCTATTAATGGATGTTCTGTACAGTGTTCTGCCCTCAAGGAGACCCAATAGGCCAGTCCACTGCAGTGGCTATCGATCTGGTAAGCCTGGGCTTCAGCAGCAATCAGCTTGTGAAGAGCCCTGGCAGCTCTGCCAGCCGAGAGTTGGATCACTGGAAATGGACCTGCCCTGGAGTCAAAGGACTTCAGGTCAGAGCCACAGGTCTTATTGACTCTAAGCTTAAAAGCCCTTCACTCAGCCCAGCTTCCAAAGTGACCACCACAGCTGAGGGGACGGCCAAGTAGGGTCAGCAACATTATAGGCAGAACTGTAAATTTGCTGTTAGAGATGCCACCTGCCTTTACCTGGCCAGCTCTCCTCCCAGACCAGCTGGGTAATGGAAGTCAACAGGGTGCCTTCCCCAAGGAGGTTCACACCTCCCTTAGGATGTACCCTATGAAGAGATAGGTCTGGGCCTCTTAACTTACAAGGCCTAAAGCCCACCAGATTATTATCAAGCCCCTTCTGTCAGGTTCTATTTGCCTCTCAGTCAGCAAACTTAGTTGTGGCTTACACAGCACCTTTCTTGGGTCCTCTAGTAATGATTCTGTCCTTTGTTCTAGACCCTGTCTAGCCCACTTGGGTCTCATTCCTTTGTAATCATAACCTCTACTCTAAAATCAGTGGCTCTACTCCCAATCTGTGTGTATTGATGGTCCTCTCCTCCACTTAATGTTGTATGATTATTCAGAATTTCTCTACAGACAAAACCCTCTACCTGCAAAAGTTGAGTGGCCTTTCTCCCGGTCTTGGCTGGGATCAGATTTAAACCATATCCATCAAACAATCCTCACAAGGGTCCAAAGACACCACCCCCCTCGTTTCCTCTCCTCTATGAAATCCTTTCATTACCTGGTTAATGCCACTCTTAGGATCATCGGTTGTTATTCTCACCCTGACTTGTATACTACAGTGTCTGTTTAAGTGTTTACAGCAGGTGATAATGGAATGAACCAAGGCCTTCAGCAACCAGGCAGTCAACCAGATGCTTCTCCCTCCATACATGCCTATCCCTGCAGAGCCCCAAGATACCCCCCGAGGGCCCCTGTAAACGATGTCCCCAGTCAGCAGGAAGTAGCCAGAGAGACTCATCATCACCCCCTTTCCTATCATCAAAAGGTCGGGGTGGTAGCTCTGGGATCCACATGGAAGGAAGGCCTATACTTCCGGGAATGGAGAAGTCCCTACCTGTACTTGCGGGGAATAAAAATCCTTGTCAAGGTCCCTGTGGGTGCCTAGAGGTCAACCAATGAGGATCAGACCCGCCTCTACCTTTAACCCCCATGCCCTGAAACTATAAAAGGAGCTCTCCCAATCTCTGACACGCGACTTCCCCAGCCCCCGCTCTGTTGCTCTGTTGGGACCAGAGAACCTCCCCCGGGAGCGGAACCCCAATAAAAGCCTGTGAATTAATTGATTCATCTGCCTGGAAGATTTGTTACACGCTGGACACCTTGCAACAAACATTTGTACTTTTTAGAAACAGTAAAGTCACTAAACAAGTAACTACAGCCTATATAAGAAAAGCATAGAGAAGGGAAAAAGGAGCCACTGGGAAAAATGAAAAGAAAACAAAAAGGAGAAAGAATTAATTTTCAGACAAAATTCTATGGACCATGCTGTGAAGTGAGTGTTTGAACAGTGGAGAGACTACACAACAATGTACAATTCTGAGCTCATCAGCGAAAGGAGGAAAAATGTTTTGTCAGAAACAGAGGACCCTGGTCTCACCTGTAGCCACGGGGAATTCAAAATCCTGAAGTTTTCATTGAATTTTCCCATCAAGTTAAGAAAAGTCTCATCTTTATAATCAAAACGGTTCTGGAAAATCACAGAGCAGATCACGTTGCAGGGAGCAGCACCCAGGATAAAGGTGGGATCGCAGGGTGAGCCTGAAGAATGGGAAACACTTTTAAATACTATCAAAACATCCATACAAGACTTTAGCCTTTGAACTAACAAGCAGAGGTAATTTTAGGATCTAAAATAATATTTACATACAGACTAACTGATCAGCAAAATCTTCAAAGTGCTTAGAACAATAATACTCTTTTTCCATTCCATTCCATTTTCACTTATTTACTGGCTTCTCCAAAAACATCTACTGCCAGAAGGAAGCATCACTGCTTCTGGATTCTGACCCTAGGTCAATGCTATTTTTGGAGGGTAAAATCTTACAGGTCTGAGCCTCAAACTGACAAGGCCTTAAAGCCCACCTGGTAATTTTCAAGTCCTTCCTCCCAGTTTGTACTTGCCTCTCAATGAAAAAACTTGCTCAGGGTTTAGATACTTTTCTTAGGGCCTCTATCCTCAGTTTTTGATCCTGTGAGTTAAACTGCTTGTTAGATTTGTTTTATCCAGGCTTTAAAAATAAATAAATAAATAAAATTCTAGGTGGCCATGCACATGAAACCTCCACTGGAAGCAGTTTCTGCAAGCTGGCACTGCATTCCCCTGGAGAAGATACCTCCTGCTGAGCAGCCACCTTCTGCTGAAGCCCTGTCCTAGCACCTTTTCAGCAGGGAGCAGCCAGAATCGTCTTCCAGTCCCTCCTAACAGATGTTAGAGTTTCAATCTTCAGGAGAGTGCAAATATGAGAAGTCAGATGGGTTAACAGGTTGTCAGGGGATCCCAATGGAATTTGGGGTATAAAATATTTGCTTCCTTCCCAGAACAAACAGGCTGCCCTCCTTCCTTTGGAATCTCCAAATTTACCATGAGAATAGCAAGGGAGCTCTTCCTGAGCTCACAGCTTATTGTGAAAACAAGTTACCTCTCCCACTCTTAGCAGGGCAGACAGGATGGAGAATTGCAAATGAGGTCTTTTGATGTTTTTTGCCCCTGCCTGGTAACTGAATCCCAATCTGATTGTCAAGTTCTTTTTCCTTCAGAAATTGTACTTAAAAAGCCCATTGCCACCTGCCCCTTTGGGTTTATTCTTCTGGAAGTCCCTCTCCATGCTGCTCTGGTTGGAGGCCTTTTACTCTGATAAATACTTTAAATCTAAAAAAAAAACAAGCAAACAAAAAAAAACTTAGAGGCCACTTTTAAAACATCTAATAGGCCGGCACCACGGCTCTCTAGGCTAATCCTCCGCTTGCGGCGCCAGCACACCGGGTTCTAGTCCCAGTTGGGGCGCCGGATTCTGTCCCGGTTGCCCCTCTTCCAGGCCAGCTCTCTGCTGTGGCCAGGGAGTGCAGTGGAGAATGGCCCCAGTACTTGGGCCCTGCACCCCATGGGAGACCAGGAAAAGCACCTGGCTCCCGCCATGGGATCAACACAGTGCGCTGGCCGCAGCGCACCTGCCGTGGCGGCCATTGGAGGGTGAACCAACGGCAAAGGAAGACATTTCTCTCTGTCTCTCTCTCTCACTGTCCATTCTGCCTGTCAAAAAAAAATCTAATAACTCACATTATTAATGTAGAATTATATGTATTCTGAAGACTTAAAGACAGTTAAGTAAGGAAGTAGGAAACTTTTATAAGTATTCAATACTTGAGGAAACTATGTGTGAAAACTACAGACAGGAACACAAAAGAAAGTGAAACAATTCAGGTGTTTGATGGAACAAATGTAGATAGGGAACCATCCATGGAACGTGAAAAGAAACTAGGGCAAATGGACACAAATTATGACAGGTTTGTTTGCCTAAAATTAAAATAAAATTAGAAATTTTCAAATTTAATTGACATGGGCAAACACAGAGGCTACATTGATGAGTGGAGTCCTTTTATTTCTTTGATGTGGAAAGAAAAAAACATTCCTGCCCTAGGAAACATTCATAATCACCAATTGAGCTTACATGAACAAAGTCTATAGCCTTGTACAGGTGTAGATTGTTACTCAACATAACCGTTTACAGAACATTGTGTAACTATCAATCAATTTTTTTTAATGTGACCATCATTTAGGCCAGTTTCATCATTTTACATTGAAGAAAGCAGAAGAAAGTTTGTTTTTGGCTTTTTGTTTCTCTGTTTTGTTTTTCAGTGAGCAACATTTGAATAAAATTGTTATAATCAAAAGCTCAACAAACTTCATATGTTAAAATCCAGAATTCACATCATAGATATAATTAAAGGTGATTTTGAAGTTGGCAGGCATCTCAGTTGGCGCTTCTGGGGAACTTTAAGGGGCCACATTTTGATATATATTTTAGGGGGTCATTTCCAATATTATATGGTGATCACGGAGGGACATTTAATATGTGGAATTTTTAAGAAGGAATTTTTAACATGTGGAATTTTCAGAAATTTTAAAACTAGGCAGCATGGTGGGAGCAGATTTCCTGTGGCTTCTGACCCTATCTCTACCTGCTCCCTCTCCCTCCTCCATCTGAGTTGGTGCTTTCCTGTGCACCCAGCCATGGGAACACAGGGGTCCAAAGCACCTGCCCTGGTGGGGATGCATGCATGGCCTTCGCAGGGAAGGGGCGTGTCACTTTCTTCAACCCTGGTGATGGTCGTGAGGCAGGGGTAGAATGGCACAAGGTGGCCCCAGGCTCAGCACCAAATCTGGGCACTGTGGGCGCCCTGGATCTGGCCTCTCAGCCTCAGTTCTACCACAGGGCCACCCACAGGGAGCTGCGCCTCCAATCGCAACTCGTGCTGGCCCCTCCCTGCATGAGAGTCTGGAGGCCGCACTGCACTGAATTTCCCAAGGCCGTTTCAGCCCACAGCAGCTCGGCAGGAGTGGGAGCACATGCACCGACAGCGCCCAGACTCGCACCGAGCTATCCAAGGCTGGTTCTGCCCGCAGCTGCTCGGCGGGAGCATGAGTGTGTGTGTGGACGGCACACAGATTCACACCAACTTGCAGCTCGCCAGAGGTGCAAGTGTGTGTGTGTGGATGGCCTGCCCTGCCCTGCATGAGCGCTTGGCAGCCCACTCAGGAGGCCAGTGCACTGCTCTGAGAGTTAAGATGGCCACCACAACAGGCTCAAAGCAGGCTGATATCAGTGTGGGGAGAGGAGCCTAGTGTGGTAGTTGACCACTTGGCATGTGGCCAGAGCCACCCCATGCTGGGAGAGAAGAGCAGCTCGCTCGCTATGCAAAGCGAGATTTTTTTCTTTCTTCATCTTTTCTTTTCTTTTGCTGGTAGCTTTCAAAAAGGAAGGCACTGGCTGGGTTTCTTTCATGGTTTCTGGTTTTAAGGACTTTTGGTGTCGTTGTTAGTGCAAAGAGAGATAAAACAGACTTACATGGAGGAAAAACTCCTAAGGATTCTAGAGTGGTTGTAGTGTGTTTCAAAGACAATTTACATGCTTTACTAAGGTTGAGTTTTTAACTAGTACCAGCAGCTAAAAAAAAGTTCTAAAACATTTCTCTTTGCCCCTGGGCCTTATTGTACAAGTTTCAATTGCTAATTGCAAGTTGGAGAACTGGTCTGGTTGCTTAGAAATGTGTTAGTGTCAGGGAGGAGGAGCTTCAAACAGGATGGACGCTCTACTTCCCATCATGGAGGGCAAGACTTCTGCCCCAAGATGGCAGCCCCCATGGTCCACCACATGCTATATGCCTGGTTAATAGAGCTATGTATTTTAAATCATATTTTCATTATTTTAGTTTGTTATTTTCACCTTAAGAATGGATCCCCCTTATTCTAGTTTGTTATTTTCACCTCTGGAGTGGGATTAAATCATATTTTCATTATTTTAATCTGTTTTTTTCATCTTCAGAGCAGATCCCCCTTATTCCAGTTTGTTGTTTTCACCTCTAGAGTGGGATTCTAACAGTCTGAAATGGCATTTCTCAGACTGGGTAGTTTATATTTCCTTGGTATGATATATATGCATTAAGCTCTATAATAGGCATAGTAGCACTAAGATGCCAGACTATCGGTTAAGGTAGAAGATCAGAGATATAATGGGGCCAAAGTTTAGCCCTATTTACCTCCTGTTTCCCCTGGTTACAAGGTGATTTAACTATTGGTAGTTCTACATCTGCTCCTTGGGAGACTCCCTTAAAGAGAGACCCTTTGACTAGATGGGATTAAGGAATTATAGCAAATACAATGTATCCATGTAAAATGCTTAAGAATAATTAAGCTCGTGAAGAGCTGTGTCTGTTTTTATTTTCTCAGGTCATACAGAGAGACTGTAAAGCTGTATAGCTCTGCATACAATCTTAGGAACTTACTTCTAAGGGTACAGTTTAAAACTTATTATGAGATTGCAAATCCCCTTGGGCTAGATGCTAATGGTAATATCTTAAGTTTTAAAGTGATCATGTCAATAGGATCAAATGTTAACTACTAATAGTAAATAAAATTAAAGAGGAGCAAATGCTCCAACATGGAAAGGAGGCTGTACAACAGAATCATGGAGTGGCAATTGCTTTAAGTGGCACTCAGTGACCTCAAAATCAGCCCTAAAGGCATTCTGGTCTGACTAAAAAGCCCACAAGAGCATTTCAGGCATGGAAAGCCAGGACACTTGTGCAAAAAGGTGTCCCTGTGTGGAGAACCTCCCTGGGTGAGACCCCAGTGGAGAAGAGTGACCATCAAAGAAGGATGTACTTTTCTCCAGAGGGAGGAAAGAACTTCCACTTTGCATATGGCTTTGTCTGAATAATGATGGAGTTTGCGGAACTCAAAAGGCTTCCATAGCCTAGGTAGCTCATATAAAGAGCCTCGGGTGATCACTGACATCAGACATAAGAGTGTTAATTGTAAATTAATCATAGGAGTCACTGTGTACTAACTTCCCATGTAGGACCTCTGTTCTCAGAAGAACTACAGTATTAACATTAATGGTAAAACTTGATCCCAAAGATTTACTTTGTTCTATTGTGTGATATTATGCATCATAATATCACATAACTTAGCTATGTCTAAGTGTCAAGATCCACTGCCTGTATTCTTAGGTGTTTCTTTAAAGTTTATTAAGTGCCTCAAATGTAAAATCTTGGATACATGTCTCTCTGTAAAATTCCTATCCCATATGTTTTAACATAGGGTCATATATTTAAAGGCAGCCAAGGAGATTCCTGAGAATGGCAAAATTCTGTGTACGATGGATTCCAAGATTTGCTTTCCAAGCTGTTCCTGCTTCTTGTGTATGACAGGCAGAGTGTATAGTGAGAGATAGAGACAGTAGAGAAAAGGTCTTCCTTTTTGCCTCACCCTCAATGGCCGCCGCGGCTGGCGCGCTGCGGCCGGCGCACCGCGCTGATCCGATGGCAGGAGCCAGGAGCCAGGTGCTTTTCCTGGTCTCCCATGGGGTGCAGGGCCCAAGCACCTGGGCCATCCTCCACTGCACTCCCTGGCCACAGCAGAGGGCTGGCCTGGAAGAGGGGCAACCGGGACAGAATCCGGCGCCCCAACCGGGACTAGAACCCGGTGTGCCGGCGCCGCAAGGCGGAGGATTAGCCTAGTGAGCCGCGGCGCCGGCCGCTTTCCAAGCTTTTATGTATAGCTTTAAAGATGCCCTGATGCAGACTCCGTACTGAAAAGGGTAGCTGCAAAAGTTGTTCCAGAAAACTAAGGAGCTTCTAACTAAAGCTCCGGTATTGGGAACTGCTGATGACAGGATTCTGTGGAAGTTGGATTCCAAGATTTGGATTCCAAACTGTTGTATATAGCTATAAAGAGGCCCTAATGCTGACTCTGTACTGAAAAGGGTAGCTACAAAAGTTATTATGGATTCCAGGATTTGGATTTCAAGCCTTGTGTTTGCTTAAAAGCTACTACTGTTATGGCCACCTATGCCACTGTTGCAGCTGTTGCCTAAATAAAAACCATGACCCATCTGCCTACAGCTCTGAGGGCATTCTTTCATTTCCCAGCCTTGAGTGTCTCAGTGACCCCAATGCCCACACATGGGTCCGACACAAGGGCATGCTATGGACACAATATTTGCTATCTCTAAGAATGAGAGAAGACATCTGACCCTGGATCTACAACAATGCCAAATGCCAACTTTTCATAAAATGTAGAAAATAAAGAACATTGATAATATGAAAATTAAAAGGTAGAATATAAGGAAAGCTGAAAACCAAGCCAACTTAAAATAGAGATGTGGAAATAAAGAGTTAAATCATTCTATATATTGCTCTTAGTGTTTTTGCAAGATTTAGCTATAATATATATTTGTTCAAATTACATAAAAAATAGAGTAATCATCACTAGAGAAAAGGCCACAGTCTTAAGGACATATAAAGTCACCCACCATTGGTTTTTCTCAGCTCCTCCACCAGGCAGCGGGCCTCCTCTTGAACACGGTCCTCAATGCTCCTCTTCCCCATTCCGAAATTCCTCAGGGTCATGAGCGAGAAGCGCCGGATCTCCTTCCATCTCTTTCCATTGCTGAAAATGACTCCTAATAGAAGGAGAAATGGAAACTAAAGGAGGATCCCAGGCAAGGAAAGGGAGCTGACACAGGCAAGCCTGTGGACTGGCCCAGCTGTGCAGAAGGAGACATTCACATTTCTGCTCCCCACCCCTTTCCACCATCACTGACAAACACACACATGCACATGTACACACATGCATGCAAACACTGACCAAATCCTTTATTAACTTTTTTATTTATTGGTGAAAGGTTTCTTCCAGAAAACTCCTCTCCCAGATCAACCAAGGCTTCCTTCACTGCTTCATATCCATACATCACCACAGTGGGCTTCATGCCCATATATACAGTGAACACATTGCCATAGACTTTTGACAGCTGGAAAGAAAAAAGAAAATGCAATATTAGCAAAAGAAATCTCATTTGGTCTACACAGTGTTCGTCACTCAGACTGGTGTAAACATCATATTGGTGATATTTTTGTTCTGCCAAGTACAACATCAAACATTTCTGGATGTTAGATATAAATATGGTGATTATCGCTATAGCTACTCAAATGGTGACTCATAACAGCCAGGCTATTGCAGGGAAAATTTGCATGCAAATTATCACAACTAGTCAATACATCTAGCAAGGCTTATTTACCCTGTTCTACAGATAAAGAGACTAAAATTTACAAAATTTCTAATCTTTGTCTCATGACTAAGAAATAGAAGACCCAAATTTAAATTGTGCTTTGTCAGACACTAATGCCTGAGCACTTTGTCAGAACTCAGTGTTCAAACCTAGATTAACACCCAACTGTCAAATGACACTGCTTCAGATCACCTACAAAGCCCTCCCAGGGGGACCAGAGTAGTGATAAATATTAGATGTTTCAGCCGGCGCCGTGGCTCAATAGGCTAATCCTCCACCTTGCGGCGCCGGCACACCGGGTTCTAGTCCCGGTTGGGGCGCCGGATTCTGTCCCGGTTGCCCCTCTTCCAGGCCAGCTCTCTGCTATGGCCAGGGAGTGCAGTGGAGGATGGCCCAGGTGCTTGGGCCCTGCACCCCATGGGAGACCAGGAAAAGCACCTGGCTCCTGGCTCCTGCCAGGATCAGCGCGGTGCGCCGGCTGCAGCGGCGGCCATTGGAGGGTGAACCAACGGCAAAAGGAAGACCTTTCTCTCTCTGTCTCTCTCTCACTGTCCACTCTGCCTGTCAAAAAAAAAAAAAAAAAAAAAAAAAAATATTAGATGTTTCCATTTTATAGCCACCCAAATAATCCAAATGCCTAGCCCAGTTTAAGATCTGCAAGTATTATTAACACAGAAAGAGTGGCCACCACAGAGGCAGGGCAAAGACACACAGATCTCATGGAAAGATAATTCAATCCATGTTGTGCATTCACAGTCACAACCAGCAGCTGTGTAAAGACCAAAAGGATTCTATCACCACCGAGCCAACCTAAGTCATTCTTTCTTTCACTGACTTGAATTTTTTGTAGAACCATAGATATTTTCTTGATTACAGCAATAATTTGCTTCCTGTGGTTTAATTCTCTTGGTTTATCTGAATAAAATGCACACTAAACAACTTCTTTAATAAAAAGAGTAATCACATAATACTCCATTACCCTTGACTTTTAGGCAAAAAAAATCATTTCTGAAATGACTGTGAAACAAAGAAAGGCAATATCATCTTACTATTTTGACTCACTTTACAACTTAACTATTCCTATACTAGAAAAATGCTTTACTTCATTCAACTATTTCTGACAATGACACATCAAAAATTGTAATACCAAGGGAATGCATCTTTAAATAAAACATTTTAGTAACTTACCTCCCGAAATACATTATATCTTTAAAATCTAAGTTTACTTATTTACCCTTTATAAACCACTAGAGCATCATAATGTATACTTACATTCTGTAAGGATTTGCTGATGTCTTTAAAATCTATCTGCAGGATATTTCCGAGAATTGGCAAAGGAGTGGGTCCAGGAGGGAGCTTCCCTCCCCCATGGCTCTGTTTCCAGAGTGAAAGGAGAAGCAAACAGGAGAGACAGAGCACCAGCACCACCACGGGATCCATCGGAGCCTTCTCTTCTTCCTGAGACAACCGAGAGCTGGAAACCTCAGGCTTTTATAACACCCCCTGCTGATGAGGTGTACCTTTGATCTACAAAAGTAACCAATGACCTGATGTACTTTTATATCTCTTTTGGGTGAGGTTTGGCCCACAGATAAAGACAAAAATATAGTGTTCCCTGTTATTTTGCTTTCCATTGATTCCCCATCTCTGTTCCAACTCAGAAGTTCTGGCCTACCTACACAGAATTTGAGTGTGACCTGCACTGCCAGCAGGGGAAGGTTGTCCACTTAATCCCATGCAATGACAGCACATTGCATGCTTCCCATCAGCCCCCTGCCAAGGGCTCCCAGGAACAGTAGGGAGGAAGTGCCATCTTAAAAAGTACATACAAGCTTCGATGGTGAGGGGAGTATATCTGAGGCATAAATCCATGGTTACCACTGATTTGAATCTGGCCTGGAGGATCAGCCGGGGGCACATTTCCACTTAAGACTCTGAAGCACGCCCCTCCTCTCTCTATCACTGGTGCCTGTACTCAAACCACCAAGTGCTGCACTCAACTGAGAAGGGCCAGGGAAATGTGACTTCCTTCACCTCTCAGTCATCTCCAGACAAGGCTGTTTCTGTTATTTTTTGGTCTGTCACTGTCACAAATTAAACATGAAATATGGACAGCAAGGAAACAAAATTATAGACACAGCAAAAGTTGTGGATGCAATATAGTATGGGAGATAGGAAAAAATCATTAATCTGACCCACAGGAAAGAAAGACCACAACATGCAGAACTGAACAGGAGGTGACACTGAGTTTTCATGAGGATCTAAATATCACCTAAGTCATAAACATTATAGATCACTGAAGACAATGTTTATACAGAGGCATGTTGATTTTAAGATGCCATCATAGTTTTTGCACTTACTAATACAGTTTTTCTAAGCTCTTGTAAGAAAAATTAAGTCTTCCAAGACTTAGCTACACAACATTTTATTGCTCAGGGTTACAGAGGTTCTGAAATTTATACAGAATTCACAACCATCATATCCACTGGAGTCTATCAACTTTGCTAAAGATAAAAATTATTCCTACTTGTGGAATGAGGTAGTTCAACTTCAGAGTCAGTCTCCTGGCCGAGGACCCATAAACAATGCAAGGTGGAACTCAGGCTGGAGCCCCAGCACCACATGTCTTGCCCTCTTCTATTGAGCAAAACATTCAGTTCAACTGGGTTCACCAACATTTTGACTGTGTGCCGTGAGTCAATATGTTATGATTAAAGTAACTAGCAAATAAATTTAGTTAATAATTACAGCAGCAATGCCTTGAAACTGGGGTCAAAAGAGTTTTTGGTGCACCTTTGAAACTTGAATGACTCCATGCCTTGATAAATACAGTGCAAAGTAAATTCATAGACTTTATCTTTAGAAAGTACTTTTAGAGTCACAGAAATGTTAAGTAGAAAGTACAAAGTACCAACATGTATCCTCCACACATCCACACACAGCCTCTCCCACAATCAATAAGCACAGTCAGTACAGTTCATTAGTTAAAATTTAAAAAACTGGGACCAGTGATGAGGTATACCAGGTAGGGCCTGTGACGTCGGAATCCATTTGGGCACCAGTTCATATCCCAGCTACTCTCTGATCCAGCTCCCTGCTGATGGCCTGAGAAAAACAGGGGAGGATGGTCCAGGTGTCTGGACCCCTGCCACCCATGTGGAGGACTCAGATGAGACTCCTGGTTCCTGGCTTTGGCCTGGCCCAGTACTGGCCATTGCAGCCATCTGGCAAGTGAACCAGTATATGGAAGATCTCTCTCTGTAACTCTAACTTTCAAAACAGATAAATACGGCTTAATAACTCATTTCTTTTTTATTTTTTTAAAGATTTATTTATTTTTTTTGAAAGTCACAGTTACACAGAGAGGGGAGGCAGAGAGAGAGGTCTTCCATCTGATGGTTCACTCCTCAATTGGCCGCCACGGCCGGAGCTGTGCTGATCCAAAGCTAGGAGCCAGGAACTTCTTCCGGGTCTCTCACATGGGTGCAGGGGTCCAAGGACTTGGCCATCTTCTACTGCTTTCCCAGGCCATAGCAGAGAGCTGGATCAGAAGAGGAGCAGCCAGGACTAGAACCGGCATCCATATGGGATGCTGGTGCTTCAGGTCAGGGCGTTAACCCACTACACCACAGCACCGGCCCCGTACTCATTTCTTTTTTAAAAAGATTTGTTTGTTTATATGAAAGGCAGAGACAGAGAGAAAGAGAGAGATGAGGGGGAGAGAGAGAGAGAGAGAGGGAATCTGTCCAAAGGTTCTCACTCCAAATAGCTGCAACAGCGAGGTCTGCCAGGAGTATCTGGTCTCTCATATGAGTGGCAGAAACCCAAGTACTTGCGCCACCTTCCACTGTTTTCCCAGGTGCACTGGTAGGAAGCTGGATCAGAAGTAGAGTGGCTGGGATAGGATGCCAGCATCACAAGTGGTGGCTTAACCTGTTGTGCCATAATACTGGCACCAACAATGCATTCCTTTTTAACACTAAATAATATTTAAATAATTTTCAATTGTATGGATGTAATATAGGTTGCTTATCCACTCAGTTATTGCAGAACCTCTCGATGGCTCACAATTTTTTAAAATGATGAATAAAATAGCTCTAAACATCCTTGGACAGGTTTTTGTATAGGTACAAGTTTTCAACTCATCTGGATAAATACCAAGCACTGTAATTGCTGGGTGACATGAAAAGTGTAAGTTAGTTTTATAAAAAAAATGGCAAACTTTCTTCCAAATGTCTACTTTTTGCACTCCCACTAGCAATGATTAATAGTTTGCAGAACTCCCTATCCTTGTCAGCATTCACTTTTATCCATCCATCTTTAGGATTTAGCCATTGTATAAGATGTACACCATCATCTTATTGTTGTCTCAGTTTACAATTCCCTAATGATGTGTGATTTTGCAGATTTTTCAAACATTTGTTTGCCACCTGTGTGTCATGTTGGATGAGGTATCTAGTCAAATATGTCACCTGGTTTTTTAGTCATGCTGTCCCATTGTCTCATTGTTGAGTATTAAGTTCTTTGTATATTTGGAACAACAGTCCTTTTATCATATATGTATTTTGTAAACATTTCTCATTCTCTTGCCTCCATTCCTAATTTTCAGAGAGCTTTTATCATGTCAAATGCTTTTTCTGCTGTTGATATGACCATGTGAATTCCTTACTAAGCTGATGTGATGGAATGCATTCATTGATTTCCCAACATTGAACCACTTGAGCTATCTGAAATAAATCACCCCTGGTCATGTACTGTAATTGTTTTCAGGTACTGTTGGATGTACTTATGTTTTGTTGAGGACTTCTGCGTCTGGTTTCATTAGATTTATTTTAGTTTTCCTTTCTTAAAACATCTTTGCCTTGTTTCAGTAGTACTGTAAGCCTGGCCTACAGAATGATCGAGAAAGATTTTTCTTACCTACTACCTTTTTGAAGAGATATAGAGAATTGGTATAATCTTCATTCAATGTTTAGTAGAATTCACTAGTGATCCCATCTGTGTTTGATGCTTTTTGTGTTGCATGTTACTAACTATTGATTAAAATTCCCTGAAAAATAAAGGCCTATTCAAATTTTCTATTTTTTCTTATGTGAATTTTGGCAGATAGTATCTTTAAGAAATTGATACATTTCATTTAAGTATCAAATTCTAGGCATAGAATTGTTCAGAAAACTTCTTTTTTTAAAAGATTTATTTATTGGGGCCAGTGCTGTGTCACAGGTTAAGCCTCTGCCTGGCGCAGGCATCCCTTGTAGCTGCCATTTTGTGTACTGGCTGCTCCTCTTCTGATCCAACTCTTTGCTGTGGCCTGGGAAAGCAGTGGAAGAAGGCACAAGCACTTGGGCCCCTGCACTGACATGGGAGATTCAGAAGAAGCTCCTGGCTCATGGCTTCAGATTGGCCCAGCTTTGGCTGTTGTAACCACTTGGGGAGAAAACCAGCAGATGGAAGACCTCTCTTTCTCTCCCTCTCACGGTCTGTAACTCTACCTCTCAAATAAATAAGTTTTTAAAAAAGAATGAATTATTTTTGATAGGCAGAGTTACAGAGACAGAAGGACAGAAATAGATCTTCCATTCACTGGTTCACTCCCCAAAAGGCTGCAATGGCAAGGCTGGGCCAGACTGATGCTAGAAGCTTGAAGCTTCATCCGGGTCTCCCACAAGGGTGGCAGGTGCTCAAGGACTTGGGCCATCTTCCACTGCTTTCCCAAGGGCATTAGCAGGGACCTGAATCAGAAGTGGAGCAGCCAGAACTCATGAACTGCTGCCCATGTGGAATTAGCACTACAGGTGACAGCTTAATCCACTGTGCCACAGCACCAGCCCACATAACATTTTTTATTACCCTTTTACTATCTTCCTGTTAGTAGTGATGGTTCCTCTTTCAATTCTGACTTAGTAAAATATGGCTTCTCTCTTTGTTAATGAGACTGGCTAAAGGCTTATTAATAGTATTTTTTTTTTTTTTGGACAGGCAGAGTTAGACAGTGAGAGATAGAGAGAAAGGTCTTCCTTTCGTTGGTTCACCCCCTAAATGGCCGCTACCGCCCGGCACTGGGCCAATCCGAAGCCAGGAGCCAGGTACTTCTCCTGGTCTCCCAGGCAGGTGCAGGGCCCAAAGACCTGGGCCATCCTCCACTGCCTTCCCGGGACACAGCAGAGAGCTGGACTGGAAGAGGAGCAATCAGAACAGAACCAGTGCACTAACCGGGACTAGAATCTGGAGTGTTGGTGCCGCAGGCAGAGATTTAGCCTATTGAGCAATGGCGCTGGCCTATTAATTGTATTTTCAAAGAACCACAGTTCCCTTTTTTTTTTAGGTTTTTTAACACCTTTATTAAGGTATAATTGATATACCAAAAATGCACATATTCAGTATATACAATTTGAAGGGCTTGGACATATGCACGTACCTGTGAAATGATCACAATCAAGGTAATGAACATGTCTACCACCTCCAAACATTTCTCTGTGCAATTTTGCTTGTTTTTGTGTTAATAATACTCATACCATGAGCTCTACCTGCTTAACAAACTTTTAATTGCACACTACAGTATTAAAGAATCACAGCTTCTATTTTCATTGAGTGTCTCTATTGACTTCCTGCTTTCAAATTTATTGACTTCTGCTCTGGTTTTAATTGTTTCTTTTCATTGTTTCTTCTCTTCTACTTATTTCGAGTGTAATTTGTTCTTTTTTCTCGAATTTCCTAAAGTGAATGTATAAGTTACTGCTTTTTTACCTTTCTTCTATAGCATATGCATTGAATGCTATAATTTCAACTAAGAACTGCTTTTATTGCATCTCACAAATTTTTTAATTTTATTTAATGAATATAAATTTCCAAAGTACAGCTTATGGATTACAATGGCTTTTCTCCCCCATAACTTCCCTCCCACTCACAACCCTCCCCTCTCCTCATCCCTCTCCTATTCCATTCACATCAAGATTCATTTTCAATTCTCTTTATATACAGAAGATCAATTTAGCATATATTAAGTAAAGCGTTCAACAGTTTGCAACCACATAGAAACACAAAGTGAAAAATACTGTTTGAGTAATAGATATAGCACTAAATCACAATGTACAGCACATTAAGGACAGAGATCCTACATGAGGAGTAAGTGCACAGTGACTCCTGTTGTTGACTTAACAAATTGACACTCTTGTTTATGGCATCAGTAATCACCCTAGGCTCTTGTCATGAGTTGCCAAGGCTATGGAAGCCTTTTGAGTTAGCCGACTTCGATCTTATTCCGACAGGGTCATAGTCAAAGTGGAAGTTCTCTCCTCCCTTGATGACCTGTTCTTTCCACTGGGATCTCACTCACAGAGATCTTTCATTTAGGTGGTTTTTCTTGTTTGTTGTTTTTTTTTTTTTTTTTTTTTTTTTTTTTTTTTTTTTTTTTTTTTTTTTTTTTTTTTTGCCAGTGTCTTGGCTTTCCATGCCAGAAATACTCTCATGGGCTCTTCAGCCAGATCTGAATGCCTTAAGGGCTGATTCTGAGGCCAGAGTGCTGTTTAGGACATCTGCCAGTCTATGAGTCTACTGTGTATCCCGCTTCCCATGTTGGATCGTTCTCTCCCTTTTTTATTCTATCAGTTAGTATTAGCAGACACTAGCCTTGTTTATGTGCTTCCTTTGACTCTTAGCCCTTTCATTATGATCAACTGTGAACAGAAATTGATCACTGGGACTAGTGAGATGGCATTGGTATATGCCACTGTGATGGGATTGAATTGGAATCCCCTGGCACATTTCTAACTCTACTATTTGGGGCAAGTCCGATTGAGCATGTCCCAAACTGTACATCTCTTCCTTCTCTTATTCCCACTCTTATATTCAACAGGGATCACTTTTCAGTTAAGTTTCAACACTTAAGAATAATTGTGTATTAATTACAGAGTTCAACCAATAGTATTAAGTAGAACAAAAAAATACTGAAGGGCCGGCGCTGTGGCTCACTAGGCTAATCCTCCGCCTAGCGGCGCCGGCACACCGGGTTCTAGTCCCGGTCGGGGAGCCGGATTCTGTCCCGGTTGCCCCTCTTCCAGGCCAGCCCTCTGCTGTGGCCAGGGAGTGCAGTGGAGGATGGCCCAGGTGCTTGGGCCCTGCACCCCATGGGAGACCAGGAGGAGCCCCTGGGCTCCCTCCATTGGATCAGCCCCGGTGCGCCGGCCCCATTGCGCCGGCCGTGGGCGGCCCATTGGGAGGGTGAACCAAGGGCAAAGGAAAGACCTTTCTTTCTGTCTTTCTCTTTTTCACTGTCCACTTGGCCTGAGAAAAATAAAAGTGAGATAAAAAAAAGACAAAAAAAAAATCCAACACTGAAAGGGCTAAAGTATTAAATTTCAAAAAGCTTTTGTTTTATTTAACTTAAAAGTTAAGCTTGTTGATATTTCTTCTTTGATTCCTGTGTTATCTAAAAGTGTATTGTTGGGACCAGCGCTGTGGTACAGCAGGTTAATGCCCCAACCTGAAGTGCCAGCATCCCATATGGGCACCGGTTTGAGACCCCACTGCTCCACTTCTAATCCAGCTCTTTGCTATGGCCTGGGAAAGCAGTGGAAGATGGACCAAGTCCTTGGGCCTCTGCACCCGGGTGGGAGACCCAGAAGAAGCTCCTGGCTCCTGGCTTTGGATCAGTGCAGCCCTGGCCGTTGTGGCCAATAGGAGAGTGAACCAGCGGATGGAAGATCTCTCTTTCTCTCTCTCTCTCTCTCTCTCTCTCTCTCTCTGCCTCTCCTCTCTCTGTGTAACTCTGACTTTAAAATAAATAAGTATTTTTTAAAAAGTGTATTGTTTAATCTCTAAGTATTTGGTAATATTCCAGCTATCCATCTGCTACTGATTTCAAGTTTAATTCCATTGTGGTCTTACAGCAGACACTACAGGATTTGTATCCTTTCTAACTAGTTAAGTTATGGCCTATGGCCTTGCATGTGGTCCATATGGTGAATGTTCCATTAAAGCTAGAGGAGAAAGTGTATTCTCTTTTTGTTGGGTCAAGTACTCTATAAATGTCAAATTAGACTCTTGTTTGTGCTGTTCAGTTGAACTTTGTATTCATTGATTTTTGCCATCTGGATCTAACCAATCTCAGAAGAATCAACACTGCAGCTGTAATATTGGATGTATCTATTTCTTCTCACAGTTCCATGAGTTAATACTTGATGTCTCTTGTGAGTTGTACATGCTTTAAGGGCTGTTAAGGCTTCTTGGAAAAACTGAACTCCTTACCATTACGTGACATTCATCTTTAAGAATTTTTCTTGCTTTGGAGATCATTTTGTCTGAAACTAATATAGAAACTACAGCTTTCTTTTGATTAGTGTTAGTCTCTATTCTGTTACTTTTCATCTATGTGGTTTTATTTCAAGTGAGTATATTGTGGACAAAATAAAATCTTTATGCACTCTGATAGACTTTTGATATATTTAGTGATATTTGAATCGATCTTAATGTAGTTAGATTAATGTCTAACGCACTTGCTTTTCCCTATTCACTGCTCTTGTTCTTTGTTTCTATTTTTGCCTTTAACACTTTTTCTGTCTTTGATAGTTTTCTTAAGATTTATTTATTTATTTATTTGAAAGTCAGAGTTACCTAGAGAAAGAGGGAGAGACAGAGAGATCTTCCATCTGCTGGTTCATTCCCCAAATGGTTGCAATGGCTGAAGCTGGGCCAATCCAAAGCTAGGAGCTAGGCGCTTCTTCCAGGTCTCCCACTTGGGTGCATAGGCCCAAGCACTTGGGCCATCCTCTGCTTTCCCAGGCATATTAGGAGGGAGCTAGATCAGAATTGGAGCACCTAGGAGTCAAACTGGTACTCATATGGGATGCTGGCACTGCAGGCAGCAACTTTAGCCACTACACCACAGCTCCAGCCCCCACCTTTGATAGTTTGAACAGAGCATGTCTTATGATTCCATTGTCTCTTCTTCCTGAACATATTGCTTATTATTTATTTGCTTTTGTAATATCCTCCACAAAGTTTGCAATACGTATTTACAATAAACAAACAAAAAAACAATATATATAAAGCTAAGCTGACATCTTGTGATGTGATTGTTATCTATAACCCTTGTTTATACTCCTGTGGAACAATGGTCTACCACCTTTTACTTGCAGAGCTCTTTGTTTAGAGGAGCATTGAGCCTGTGATTATAAAATAAATGGAAAGTGTGTTATCACAAAAAATTAAAAGAAAAAAAAGAAAGAGAAGAAGGAAGAGAGAGGGAAGGAGCGGGGGCGAAAGGAGGAAAGCATATTCGTGGAATCACATCTGTGAAATTCATGGAATCTGTTCTCTAATATATTCATAAACAAATAAATGTAACAAAAATTTACCAAACTGTATCCTGAAAATATGTACAAATATTACATGTCAATAAAAATGTGGTTCTAAAAAATAAGTTATGTCAAGAATGTAAAAATTAAAATAAAATAAATAAACCCAAGTCCACTTTCAAATGATACCATACTGCTTCATGGATAGTGTGCCTACTAGAAAGAACTTATTCCTAGCTACTCTATCAAATTTATTATTTCATATTTATCATTGATTTCACTTATTGATCATCTATAATCCTGAAATATATTCTTGTTGATATTTTTAACAATTATCAGTGAGATCAGTCTAAATACATATCTGTCAAGGTGAATAATTACTTACTGTAAGAGATGACAAATTTTAGGCATATATCTATTTGATCAATAATAAAAAGAATTAAGGACTGGAGAAATGTTGAAAGGAGCCATTTCCTCTTCTCACATGCAGTTTCTAACCCCCTGGAACTCAAAACCTAAGAATGCCAGTAGAGAGCTTGCAAGGATGAATAAAACCTCAAATATGCAGAGAGGTAGTTGTAAATATGGTCATAGAGTTGCCCAACTGTGATTAAACTCCAGCTTCCATATAGGAATCCTCAGATAGTTGATGGTCTTAATACACTGGATAAAAAGCATTTGTGCATAAGATATTGCTTCTCCTGAGACAGGAGGGTACCTCACCCCTCACGTCAGACTCTACCCTGGTCTTCCAGGGTGTCCTCCAACTTCACCAAACCTATGTGTGTTCAAGGCCCACTAGGGCTTGTCTTAAAAGTGAAAATAACAAAAAGAGGCACCTCCTCTCCCCTAAATCTGAACCTGAGTTCCTATTCCTCTTAGAACCAGTCTCTGGAAGGCACAGTTTCCCAGGGACAAGTCCTGAGGATGAAAGATCTTTGTGATACCCTCACACCCAGGTGTGGTGCCACTGGTCTCCCCATGCCTCAATGTTTGAAGGATTTGCAGCCACAGAGAGCAGGGGATTGAAAGCAGTATAAGATATCTGCCCAATGCTGCTCTCAAGGACTCATTCTAAAGTAGGTAACGTGGGGCTGGAGAGAAAGTGGGGCCCCTTTCATGTATGTTCAATGGTGCAATAAGGAAGCTAATCATCTTGTCCCTGGTGAGGTAGCTTTACCAGTTTCACCTTCTCACAGATAACACAGCTTCAGTCTGGAGAAATTACATGTAAGAGTACAGTTCACAGATTTTTTTTTCATGCTATTTGAACTCTTTACTTAGGTATAGAGTTAATCTTATGTGTATAAAGTTAATTAAAATAGATCTTAGTAAAAAATATGAATGAGAATGGAGAGAGAGGAGGAGGAGGAAGGGTGGGAGTATGGGTGGGAAGGTGGATAGGGCACAAAAAAATCACTATGTTCCTAAAATTCTATTTATGAAATTCATGAAGTTTGTATAGCTTAAACAAAGGGTTTCTGGTGGAGGGAGAAAGGAGTGCAGTTCCTAAGGGTCACTGGAGAGTCATCCAATCAGGCAAATACCTGTGCAAAGGAGCTAGAAGCAGTAATGACTCTGGGTGCACAGCTTTTCAGCCAGTGTATGTCTTACAATTCTCTTCACTTGTGCTCTTTTGCATCTTGACTGAGTTGTAGTTTTCATGATAACTTTGTTAAGGGAACATCATTTAATACATTCTATTGTACCTCTACATATTTGGACAAATGTAAATAGCAATTTAAATGTGGTAAGAAGGACATAACATAAAATTTACCATTTAAATTACTTTAGGACACAGTTTGGTTGCATTAAGTACATTCACATTATTATGCAATCACCACCACCATCTTCAGAACTCTTTTTTCATCCTGAAAATGTAACTTTGTATCATTAAACAGTAATTCCCCATTCTCACACATATAGAAGCCAGGAAGACCTTCCATTATTTCCTCAATGGACCCATGATGTTCTTCCACCTTTTGGTTATTGTGAATAATGCTTCTATGAACGAGTATATAAGTACCTCTTAGATACCTTGCATTTATTTCTTTTGAGTATGTGGCCAGGGTGGAATTATTTGGCCATATGTAAGAAATAACATATACTTTTTAAAAATTTTATTTTATACTTAATTGACAAATAATTACACATGTTTATGGAGCCTGTTGATACTTATCATTATGAGGACCAGCCTCAATTCCTGAGGCCCTATTTTCTTTCACTCCTTAGTCACATTATGTACAAAAGAAGGAAAATCTGAGAACTCATCCAAAAATCAATAATGTATCTATCTAGAACATACAGAGGGGAAATAGTTCTGAATTATCAAGTGCAAATCATCTTGCTCAATTTTACAGTGATAGCATATTAATAACACAGCATTAGATGAGTATTATCCTATGTGGTAGTCAATATAAGAGTTATAGACTGAAAGGAATAGTAGATACATATTTGTGAAGAGAGCTAAAAAACTCTCTCTAATGGAGGGTAGATAATGAGAAAGGAGAAAATGTCAGAGGACAGATCAAAGACAAGGCACCCAGGATAGGGGAAGCAGTCAGATGGTGCCTGGGAGAAGGGAGTTGCAAATGACAACAGGACCTGCCCTTCTTCAGACAGGAATGAAACTGAGCTGGTACAAGGGTGGCACATGGCCAAACCCTTTGAAAACTGGGGTTATGTCAACGTCCCTTGGGTCAACCAACGATTTCAGGGTAAATTTCTGTAAAATGGCGGTCAGGAATAAAAACAGCTCCATGCGGGCCAGGCCCTCTCCCACACACATGCGTTTTCCTGAAAATGACAAGCATAGAAGGTTTATTGTCTAAATATTAAGTTGTAAAACTATCACAAAAAGTACATAGAAAATATCTGATGAATGACTAAAAATGATGGATGAAAGACAGGATGACTGGGAGGATGGTTGGATATACAGATGTACAGAAAGATAAGCAATTGCTACCGTGTAATTTCTTATTTTATCAGGCATTCCTCAATCAACAAATATGTATTGACTATCAGCTCTATGGTAAACATCCACTAACTATTATAACATTATAACTATTCTTCTGACATTTCAAATTTCCATGAATATTTTTCTAGAAACACATATTTATTATGCAAGGAATTGGAGGGAGAAGGGTTAAGACATGATTTATATGAAAGAGTACTTTAAAAAGCATGTAATAATATGAAATTAAAAGATAAGTATATAATAGTGTTAAAAAATCCATACATAGCTTTTTTCATACTGGGCATTTCCATGAACTTTTTGGAGACCGCTCCTACGCATAGATTATAAAACTTTTTGTACCAAAATTAATTTACCATTAATTCTATTCTCCACCAACTTTTTGAAATGGCCTCATATATTCTACTGCCCTTCATGCCTCTGACAGAATATTCAGCCAAAGACTTTCTTTTCCTATGGCAATCTCAAAACCATACATCTAAACAGGTCACTCTTTCAGTTTAAAGCTTTAAATGGCTGCCATGTGTGTACCATGGGATAAGATCCAAATGCCTTGATCTGGCCCTTCACAGTCTGCCCCTGGTCTGATATTCAATATCACTTTTCCCATTCTCTACATCCTCTGTTCAGCTCTAAGCATATTCCCCTCAGCCTTACTGTCTAGTATCCCATGAAGTTATTGGTCTAGAAGTTTTACTCTTATGCTTCCTCTAGGACCTGTGTCCCATGTCACTTCCTATGTATGATGTTAGGGATCCCCTCAGGTAGTGTAATCTCACCCTCTCTAGGTTTCCTCATCATATTCATGATCCACTGAAGCATGGTGAAAGAAGATCAGGGTGCTCTGGAGTTACCAGTAAGTATCCTCCCCATTCTTAAGGTTTCCCTATCCCTGAATTTAGTTGGCCACTTCTAATCTCCTGGATAGTCCGTTCTTAGGCTCCACTGCCTTTGTAAAAGAGGTCTGATTGTATTCTTACCTTCCTATCCACTTCTTGTAAGGAAGCTCAAATTTCCTTTCTCTCTTTAGAAAGCTATGGGGCAGGAATGGGCAGAAAAGCAGTTTCTCCCTCCAGCCTCCCCAGAAACCTATGTTTTTCTTGCTCAGAGCACTCATCCTACTGGGTTATAATGTTCTGGCTATTCACCTGCTTCCCTAATTTGGAAGGGATTCCTTAAGAGCCTTTTGTGTGCTTCAGGGTACTTATTATATCCCTATAGCTCCTTAGGAGTGAGAACCACTGCACAAAAGACTCTCAAAATAATGGAATTAGATATCCTATACATATCAGGGGTGAAAAGTCTAAATGAGTTTCACCTTCTAAGAGGAGCACATGTGTGTCGCTCCCCCTCTTCGTGGAGGAACGACACAGGACCCTGCGCTGTTCTTTCGTCTGCTCGGCCCTCCCCGGGTTTGCTGCTGGTTCTTCCCGGGTTGGCTACTATCCCTTCCACCTCCGTGGAAGGGCAGTTCCCCCTGGCCGCATTCCCCACTTCCGCAGGGGAGCGGCACACCGCCGGCCGGTTCTCTCGGGGGCTGCACGGGTTCCCTTAGATGTTCCCCATAGATGTTCCTGGTGCATGCCGTCTCTCTCCTCCTTTATAGTCCTCCTCCGCCAATCCCAACTCGGCTGCCCACACGCCGAGTACGCTGCTCTCCAATCAGGAGCAAGTCCTACAGTTTATTAGTTGAACTGGAGGCAGCTGTGCGGAAGCTGTTTACTTCTCTCCCAACGCCATGTTGTGGGAGAGCAGATGCATAGAATAAGTCTTAATTTCAGTAACTTAGTCCAGTCTGGATTGCTCCCCACAGATCCCCCTTTCTTTTTATTTTTGGCGTTGATACGCGCCTGTCTTCGGTGTCCCGCGGCACACACTCTGCTCTACTTGCTAGAGTTGCCACAGGCTCTTACAAGTCCTATCAATCAGGAAAACCGAATCCGGGTCCTCTCTTCGCCATGTTGTGAGGAGGTTTTTAGGCGCTGATGCGTGCCTGTGTTCGGTGCCCTGCAGCGCATGCTCTGCTCTGCTAGCAGGGGACTTACAAGACCTATCAGGCAAACCGAATCCAAGCCTTCTCATTGCCTTATTGTGGGGGAGACTTATTAGTGTTGGTTCGTGCCTATCTTCGGTGACCTGCAGCTCATACTCTGGTCGAGCTGCTTGCTGCGCTTACCGCCTTAATCAGGCAGACCGAATTCCAAGCCTTCTTAATTGCGGTATTGTGGGGAAGCCTTACTGATGTTTAATTCGTGCCTGTCTTTCGGTGACCTGCGGCGCATAAGCTGCTAGCCGCCGCAGGTGCTCATCGTGCTCATCGCCTCACTTAATCAGGCAGACCGAATCCAAGCTCTCACATTGCAGTGCTGTAGGGAGGCCTTTCTATTTCTCTATTTCTCTATCTCCGGGCATTCCTATTTCTCCCATTTTACTTCTGTCTGCCAACATTCCCATTTCTCTCACTCCACTTCCAAACTTCTGTTTCTCTTATCCCTGCGGCTTTCCGGCACCTCCCCCCGCCGGCGGGCTCCGCCCCGAGGCTATTTCTCCGCCTTTCCCGCCGAGCCGCTTCAGCCCGCGTCTCTCATCTGCGCGGCTTCCCGGCTTTGCGCGGCTTGGCTTCGCGCGCTCCGCGGTCTCCACGCCCTTCGCGTCTGCACCACGGCCTACGCCAGCCCCGTTCCCTATCTATTCACGCCCCGTGCTCTCTCTGCACGCGGCGGCTTCCGCGAGTAACACAGCGTAGCTTACGTGTCCGCCACTAGCATTCAATCTAAGTTCCCCGGGCTAGCCTGGCGAATTCAACCCAGCATACGTCTCCGCCCCACGATTTGGCTTCCCGTCCTTTGCTCCCCGGGCTAATCAGACGGATCCCAATCTGGCTTACGTCTCAGCTTCTGGTTTCAACTTTTCGCCCCCTATTCCCGGGCTAACTTGAGAATCCCAAAGTGGCTTTCGTGTCCGCCTTGGCCTGCCCCCCGCGGCTTCAATTTCCCTAACATTTTTCTCTACCCGGTATGTTTCCCCAAGCTTTCCTCCAACGATATTCCTCCCTCATTTCTCCTGGCCTCTCCCCACAGTCCGCGTCCGAGTCTGTTTGTTCTAGCTTTCACTTTCGCTTTCGACCTTAGAGATTTCTCCCAGCTTCCCCCCGTAGTCCGTATCCGAGTCTATGCCTAGGCTTTCAATAGCTTCTTCCGACTCCTTTTTCGTCCGGCTTTTCCCTAGGCTGTTTGCTAGTCTCTCTCTCCGATATTTTCCCTAGGCTGTTTGCTAGTTTCTCTCTCCAATATTTTCCCTAGTTCTTCCCGTTTCTTCCCTCCTAAGTTTTTTATCCGTCCTAGGTTTCCTATCCAAGCTAGGTTTCCTATCCAAGCTAGGTTTCCTATCCGAGTCACGGCACCATTATGTCGCTCCCCCTCTTCGTGGAGGAACGACACTAAGCCCTGCCTAGGCTTCATATCCGAGTCACGGCACCATTATGTCGCTCCCCCTCTTCGTGGAGGAACGACACAGGACCCTGCGCTGTTCTTTCGTCTGCTCGGCCCTCCCCGGGTTTGCTGCTGGTTCTTCCCGGGTTGGCTACTATCCCTTCCACCTCCGTGGAAGGGCAGTTCCCCCTGGCCGCATTCCCCACTTCCGCAGGGGAGCGGCACACCGCCGGCCGGTTCTCTCGGGGGCTGCACGGGTTCCCTTAGATGTTCCCCATAGATGTTCCTGGTGCATGCCGTCTCTCTCCTCCTTTATAGTCCTCCTCCGCCAATCCCAACTCGGCTGCCCACACGCCGAGTACGCTGCTCTCCAATCAGGAGCAAGTCCTACAGTTTATTAGTTGAACTGGAGGCAGCTGTGCGGAAGCTGTTTACTTCTCTCCCAACGCCATGTTGTGGGAGAGCAGATGCATAGAATAAGTCTTAATTTCAGTAACTTAGTCCAGTCTGGATTGCTCCCCACACATGTGTAGCCAGATATATCTAGGGACAAAATTCAATTAACCTATACTACAGTTTTCTCAGTTTGGAATAACTGGATCAGCACCCCAAAGCCCCACTAAGCTGGCTCTATAATAAGGATGTGTCAGGAGCAAGGAAGGCACATGGGCACTGGGAGTGGTGCTCTTGATCATGTACAAAGAGCAAATCTACCAGCTTCACAGAATAAACCATATACGTTTCAACTGACCCCAAAAACGTCTCTTGTCCCCCAAAGTACAAATGGAAATGAATTTCTGTTACCTGCTGAGAAAGGCATGAAGTAGTCACTTTTCTTAAAATTGCCTCTGTCATCCAGGAAGTGGCCAGGGTCAAACGTCTGAGGGTTGGAGAACTCTTTGTCATCGTACAGCACAGAAGTCAGTGATGCTATGATGGATGTGCCCTAGGGGAAAAAAAAAAAAAAAGACAGACGAACTGAATCTTAGAAAAAAAAAAAAAGGAATGGGAAAAAAGCATGGAAATCATCTACTTCAATCTCTTTGGTCAATAAGTAAGAAAATCCATGTACAAAAACAACAGTGATTTTTTTTTTTTTTCCATCCAGACTGACCAAGTAATAAACAGGGATGAGTTTGAGCCTAAGAGAAATGACATCATCTGTCTTATGGGTGAAAATGATTATCTCATAGCTTTAGCTTGTATTTTGCAGATCTCACCGGGTTCGTTTCTTGTAACATAAATAAGGTAGCCTTATCAACAGTCTACAAATGAGAAAAACTAAATTCAAAAATTAAGGATGAAAGTCCCTGTACTCACAGGTGAGACCTGGAAGAAGCGCTTGGCTCCTGGCTTCAGCCTGGCCCAGCCCTGGCCATTGCAATCATCTGGGGAGTGAGCCAGCAGATGGAAGATTCTCTCTCTCTCTCTCTCTCTTTCTGTATCTTTGCCTTTCTTTTTTTTTAACTTTTATTTAATAAATATAAATTTCCAAAGTACAGCTTATGGATTACAATGGCTTTTCCCCCCCATAACTTCCCTCCCACCCGCAATCCTCCCAACTCCCACTCCCTCTCCCATTCCATTCACATCAAGATTCATTTTCAATTCTCTTTATATACATAAGATCAATTTAGGGCCGGCGCCGCGGCTCAACAGGCTAATCCTCCGCCTAGCGACACCGGCACACCGGGTTCTAGTCCCGGTCAGGATGCCGGATTCTGACGCAGTTGCCCCTCTTACAGGCCAGTCTCTGCTATGGCCCAGGAGGGCAGTGGAGGATGGCCCAAGTCCTTGGGCCCTGCACACCATGGGAGACCAGGAGGAAGCACCTGGCTCCTGCCTTCAGATCAGCGCAGTGTGCCGGCCGCCGCGCGCCAGCCGCGGCAGCCATTGGAGGGTGAACCAACGGCAAAGGAAGACCTTTCTCTCTGTCTCTCTCTCTCACTGTCCACTCTGCCTGTCAAAAAAAAAAAAAAAGATTAATTTAGTATATATTGAGTAAAGATTTCAACAGTTTGCACCCACACAGAAACACAAAGTGTAAAAATGCTGTTTGAGTACTAGTTATAGCATTAATTCACATTGAACAACATTAAGGACAGAGATCCTACATGAGGAGTAAGTGCACAGTGACTCCTGTTGTTGACTTAACAAATTGAGACTCTTGCTTATGGAGTCAGTAATCTCCCTAGGCTCTTGTCATGAGTTGCCAAGGCTATGGAAGCCTTTTGAGTTCACCAACTCTGATCTTTTTTAGACAAGGTCATAGTCAAAGTGGAGGTTCACTCCTCACTTCAGAGAAAGGTACCTCCTTCTTTGATGGCCTGTTCTTTCCACTGGGTTCTCACTCGCAGAGATATTTCATTTAGGTGTTGTTGGTTTTTTGTTGTTTGTTTGTTTGTTTGTTTTTGCCAGAGTGTCTTGGCTTTCTATGCCTAAAATGCTCTCATGGGCTCTTCAGCCATATCCGAATGCCTTAAGGGCTGATTCTGAGGCCAGATTCCAATTCAATCCCATCACGGTGGCATATACCAATGCCATCTCACTAGTCCAAGTGATCAATTTCACTTCACAGTTGATCATACTGATAGGTCGAAGAGTCAAAGGGATCACATTAACAAGACTAGTGTCTGCTAATACTAACTGATAGAATAAAAAAGGGAGAGAATGATACAACATGGGGAGCGGGATACACAGCAGACTCATAGAATGCCTTTCAAATAAGTAACAATAAAGTCTTTAAAAAAAAAAGCGTGTTGGGAAAATGACAAACTGATACTTTCAACACTTATTTGGAAATGTACATACCTGAAAGTAACAAAAACCTACTTTTTTTTTTTTTTTTTTTTTTCGACAGTTAGACAGTGAGAGAGAGAGAGAGACAGAGAGAAAGGTCTTCCTTCCATTGGTTCACCCCACAAATGGCTGCTACGGCCAGCGCTGAGGCCAGCGTACTGCGCCGATCTGAAGGCAGGAGCCAGGTGCTTCATCCTGGTCTCCCATGCCGGTGCAGGACCCAAGCACTTGGGCCATCCTCCACTGCCTTCCCGGGCCACAGCAGAGAGCTGGACTGGAAGAGGAGCAAACGGGACAGAATCTGGCGCCCCAACCAGGACTAGAACCCGGGGTGCCAGTGCCGCAGGCAGAAGATTAGTCAAGTGAGCTGCAGCACTGGCCTCAAAAACCTATTTTAAAAGCATAAAAAATTGTAAGCTTCCAGCGATCAAGATGCATCAAGCAGTTTTTCATATTCTCACCCTGAAAGTAACAGAAAGTTCATCAAGCTGCAGTAATAAAACTCCTCCCAGCTTGTGCAAGTAGAGGATTACTCTGAGTAACCGCACTCTGAGTTTGGGAATTTCAAGATCATAGATGTACAGTGTAGGAGAAACAAGCTTGCCTTAGGGATGAGGTAGTTTCTGAATTTAATGTTACAGGTTGTTGCACGGGGCACGTTGTTGGGGATGAGGTCAATGTATCTCTGGATCTCGTGCACCGTGGCATCCGTGTAGGGCATGCGGCTCCTGTCCTGCATGCAGGGGCTCCGGTGTCGGCCAATCACACGCTCGATCTCCTCCTGCACTTTAGCTGAGAAGACACAGTAAGATCATGGAATAGGAGAAACGTGGCACATTTTTATAGCAGGTGAGGGCTAAGTGAGGCACGATGGTCTCCCAACAGCCCTATAAGATCATTGTATATCTAGACTTAGAGAAAGAATTGCTGTATTAGAGAAACAGGTGAGGAGCTTCAAAAAGTTCATGGAAAATTCTTACCATGAAAAACCTACGCATGGATTTGAATTTCTTTGAATGAAAATAAACTTTCTTTTTATTTATTTATTTATTTATTTGACAGATAGAGTTAGGCAGTGAAAGAGAGAGAGAGAGAGAGAGAGAGAGAGAGAGAGAGAGAAAGGTCTTCTTTCCATTGGCTCACCCCACAAATGGCTGCTATGGCCAGCGCTGCACCAATCCGAAGCCAGGAGCCAGGTGCTGCTTCCTGGTCTCTCAAGCGGGTGCAGGGCCCCAGCACTTGGGCCATCCTCCACTGCCCTCCTGGGCCACAGCAGAGAGCTGGACTGGAAGAGGAACAACCCGGACTAGAACCCGGTACCCATGTGGGATGCTGGTGCCTCAGGCGGAGGATTAACCAAGTGAGCCACGGCGCCAGCCCTGAAAATAAACTTTCTTTTAATTCTATTTTTCCACCAACATTTTGAAGTACCCTGATATTACTTTCTTACAAGCTAGGAATTAATGTAAATCTGAACATACTTACATATTAGCATAAAGGATAACAAACATAAATAAGTATGTAAAATGCTTCAAAATACATGTGAACTTCAAAGTACATGTGAACTCAAAAAACTGTTATCCTTTGAGAAACAGAAAATGTTATCAAGAGCTAATTTTTTTTTTTTTTTTTGACAGGCAGAGTGGACAGTGAGAGAGAGAGACAGAGAGAAAGGTCTTCCTTTGCCCTTGGTTCACCCTCCAATGGCCGCCACGGCAGGCGCACCGCGCTGATTCGATGGCAGGAGCCAGGTGCTTCCTCCTGGTCTCCCATGGGGTGCAGGGCCCAAGCACTTGGGCCATCCTCCACTGCACTCCCAGGCCACAGCAGAGAGTTGGCCTGGAAGAGGGGCAACCGGGACAGAATCCGGCGCCCCGACTAGGACTAGAACCTGGTGTGCCGGTGCCGCAAGGTGGAGGATTAGCCTAGTGAGCCATGGCGCCAGCTCTAAGAGCTAATTTCTTATTAAAAGAATAAGTATTGTTTTAAAATTTAATTCTTTAAACAGATCTATATTTTGATATGGATTGGTGTATTGAGCGTGTGAGTTTATTTGCAACTTGGACTCTCTCATCTACACATACCCCCCAGAGATACTCATTTGGAATCATTCTAGAAGTTTCTTCTGAAATTTATGTTTGCATTTCTTTTGTTTGATTTATTATTTTAATTATGTGTATGTATGAGCTACAATGTGACAGTTCAATATGTGTGGTCAGTGTGTGATGAGCAAATCAGGTTAGTTAGCATTTCCATCTCGTTAACATTTTTTACATTTTTTATTAACAATCTTGGGGCCAGTGCTGTGGTGCAGTGGGTTAAGCTCCTGGCTCCTGGCTTTGGATCGGTGCAGCTCTGGCTGTTGCAGCCAATTGGGGAGTGAACCATCAGATGGAAGACCTCTCTCTCTCTGCCTCTCCTCTCTCTGTGTAACTTTGACTTCCAAATAAATAAATAAACCTGTTTTAAAAAATTGTTTAAAAAGCTATCTTTATACATATTTATAGGATATGGTTTCATATTTCAGTGCATGTATACAATATGTCCTGATCAGAATAACTTCCATGTATGAAAAAGAATGTACAGTATCTGTCTTTCTGATTGTGATTTATGTCACTTAACATGATGGCCTCCAATCCCATTTACTTTGCTCCAAATTATAGGATATCATTCTTTCTGAAAGCTGAATAATATTCCAGTGTACGTGTGTGTGTGTGTGTACATATACCATGTTTGCTTTATCTTTAATACTCTGATGGGCATCTAGATTGATTCCATATCTTAGGTATTGGAAATAACCCAGCAATAGGAAGTCAGGTAACCCTTTCATTTACTGCTTTAATTTCCTTTGAATATATGAGCAGAGGTGAAATACCAGGATCACATGGTATCTATTTTTAGTTTTTTTGAGGATTATGTTCACATTCCTAAACAATGATTTTAGCTACTTTTAAATAATTTATAAAACTTGCCAGTAAGAGAGACAAGGGCATACATCTCCATCACCACCTCATACAAAATGTACAGACACACACCCACCTACAGATGCAGACACACATGCACTTCTCATTCCATTTTTCCAAAATGTTTAGAACACAACTACTCTATGTTTATTGCTGATATCACTATCACTTCTTATATACTGACCACGGCAAACACATATCCTGGTTTAAAATGTGCATTTCAAACCAAATTTTAGATGCAAGTTTTAGAACTCTGGCAAATGCGCAGATATATTTCAAACTGCTAGTTATAATTTTCTAATTACTGACAACATCAAATAAACAATCAACCCATATTATCCACTTGATCCACTCTGAAGTGATTGTTTCTTAGTTCTAGCACCCAGCACCCTCCCTGACCCTCTTAGCTTTCTACTCCAGCTCTCCTGATTCCTGGGGCTCATGACTTCCTCTCACTTGGTTTCAGATGCTTGGATGAGCACATCCTTTAATATCTTTCTGAGAAAGCAAAAACAGAGGATGAATTTTTTTGTCAACTTGCCTGTCTCAAAATACAAGAATATACAAAATGAGAGCTAGTCAAGAATTCTAATGCCAGTCTGATGCTAAAATCTTGTATCTGACCTCATTTGTCTGTGAAAGGTTTTATTATTTCTGTAATCCTAGTGTTCTGAAATCCCACCATTCTGTGTCTTGGGGTGGATAATTTCATTTCATTCACTTTATGGGCATCTGGTGAGAATTTTCTATCTATATGGCAATAAATGGAGGTCTTTTCACTGGTGTTACTGGTGCCACTCATTGTCTACCATTTACACAGTGCTGCTGGATTAAAGGAACAAGATGGAGAAAGGTGCTAAGGATAATCAAATTCTAGTGGACTGTTCTTTACCCCTTCTCTATAGCCTTGCACCTCACTCTGACTGGTACCCCACACTTTGTCTGTTTCACTAGAGAGTGGGCCTCCTTATCCTAAGAGGGGGAAATGGGTTCCCAGATAAATGAAGATGTGAAAGGGAACTGAGCACAAAAAGAATCCAGTTTTCTGCATCATTCTCCCTCTACCTTTTTGGTTCTTCCAAAATAGCGACATTTCAGTAATTGTAGGGCACTAATTAGCCTGTCCATTCAGGATCCATCTTACTCTTGTGACATTTGGGCATAATGTAACTCTTTACAGAACTGGATTTCACCCCTCCATCTGCTGTGTGTTTCAGAAGTAGAGTACATTAAAGACTTGTTGACTGTTTCCTATATTCCTCCTCTCCAATTTACCCAAAAGGAATTCTAATCTATAATTAATTTATCATCAATTCAATAGGATTCTGAACCAGTAAAACTGATCTAACACAGAAACCAGACTTGCTTTAAAAAAATAAAATAAATTTTTAAACCTTCTCATCAAGTTCTTTATAGAAAATAAAACTATTGGCCATACGAAAAATTCTTATCTTGGCAAATATGATTTTTTTCTAGACTCAGATTTCTGCAATAATAAATTCCTAAAACACATGTCCTGCCTAAATTGTATATAATTTTCTTAAACATTTAGCCTTTTAAAATACTTCCCGGGCTGTGAAATTTTCTCAGGCCATCTCCTCCAATGTCTAGCATATCCACTACATTTTAATAAGCATAGTTTTGGTCTTCTCTACCCCAACATCAGCACACAACATTTTCAGAATAAGAGAAGATCTATGAGAACATACATATCATCCAAAACATTCTGTCCTTCAGAAAAATAACTTCTAATCCCCAACCATTTGAAGATGCTAGGCCTGCTGCAAACTCCCTTCCATGAAACCCAGACACTTTATCCACAGTGCGTTGTTTTTATTCCTTTTCCTACTGCTCATGTTCTGTTCTCAGTCCCTCTCCTCTATTGTACATTTTTGTCTTTTTTATTCCTCCATCATATTTGTACAAACTACAGCTGGTGGCACAGAAATTTCAATAATAAAGTTTCCTAAGAAACCCAAGGTGGAGGACACTAGCAGTGGCTTAGCTACATCTCTCCTGATGTTTGCTTTTCTCATTAATTGTGGACATACCTGTGACCTCTGGGTGCTTCAGCAAGAGGAGGAGCCCGTATCTCAGAGTGGTGCTTGTTGTCTCTGTCCCAGCCACAAACAAATCAGTTATAGTGCCGATCAAGCTTTCAGTTGTGAATTCAGACTGCTCATTGTTATTTTCCTAAGGATTATTTGATTATTAATTATGTGATAGCTTGCCAGCACATTTAATTACAATCAATCCAAAGTAACTTGGGTTTTTCTAAAGATAAGCAAACTTATAAAATGGAGAGGTCAGTTTTAAAACCACAACAGCTGCATATTATGGCAGAGAATGTAGATAGATTAGGTGATCCAATCTACAGTTCATTTACCCATCATATTGCTTGCCTCAAAATTTCATTTTCCAGCCTCTCTTGCAGCTATACTGGCCATTCAATATATAAGCTAAAAAAAGAACCTGCTGATGTCAATGCCTCTTTCCTCCTTCTTACTCAAAACACATGTGAGTATATGACCATGGAAATGGAACAGATATCACTTTGGAACATGAGAGTTTCAGCATCACTGGTAAGGAACATAAGCTAAGTACTGTCATCAAAAATGGCAGCAAGCTGAGTCCAGGGGGCTTCAGTTCTATGGTTCTAGTTCTCAGCTAACCAAATTGAGACCCACTGAATGTGAGAGAAATACACTGCTTTTGAAGATATTGTTGAGCTTTCACTTATTTGCATGTAGAAAAGAATCTTAATTCATAGAAGTGGGTAAAGTTGGGCCATATATTGAAAACTGTTAAAAGTCAGAATCAAGAGATTATAATTTTCAGAGTGTGGCATCAACAACATAAGAGGATTTTTGCTCTCTATCCATGGATGTTCTAAAAAACATCTATTCAAAAATCAATTCCCTATCAGAAAATAAATAAATAACTTGAGATACTCCTATGCACTTGCCTTGAAAAAATATCCACATCACATGGGAAAGGCTATGGTAAACTCAGACATGAATATCCATCCTATGCATTGTGTCATACAACCCAGAAGGAATCCCCAAAACTCAGCTCATTCCTGAGCAAAGAAGCGTTTAGATGCCGGTGTTACGGCTCAGTAGGCTAATCCTCCGCCTTGAGGCGCCAGCACACTGGGTTCTAGTCCCAGTTGGGGCACCGGATTCTGTCCCGGTTGCCCCTCTTCCAGTCCAGCTCTCTGCTGTGGCCCGGGAGTGCAGTGGAGGATGACCCAAGTGCTTGGGCCCTGCACCCATATGAGAGACCAGGAGGAGCACCTGGCTCCCAGCTTCGGATCAGCATGGTACACCGGCTGCAGCACGCAGGCAGCAGCGGCCATTGGAGGGTGTACCAACAGCAAAAAGGAAGACCTTTCTCTCTGTCTCTCTATCTCTCTCACTGTCCACTCTGCCTGTCAAAAATAAAAAAGAAGGGTTTAGACTACACATATAATTCTCTGTGCCATAGTTTAGCTCTTAATTCACCAACTTTAGGGAACTGGGCATATCTGAGTGTCTACATCACAGAATACAGTGACAGTTTTAACAAGCACGCAAGCATGTCCAGTAGATTCATCTCTAAGGCCCAAAGCAGAGAGGGGATAAAATACAAAAGTCCACATTTCTCCCTAAGAAGGCCTTGCTAACATATTCTACCAATAATACCACTGCTGACAGGTAAGCTTCTAACTAGCCTGCACCAGGGAGTTAACTGGGTCAACAAAAAGCAAACCTCTGGAATCCTGAGTAGGGCTTGATATTTGCCAGGCCTTCTCCCTTGCTCCCCTCATGATAACTACATGTGTACCCACTCATCCTGTGAGGAATTTGTCCATGCAATGAGTGCCACAATTTTTGTAGTTTTCACTGCACCTTCAACCACCTATTTCTAGGAGTTTACAGAAATTTCCATTCCCAAATGAATAACCAGAGATCACAGAAGAAACAGATGACATAATATGGGCCCACATCAAGCAGCTATCTTCCTAGGGGCACAGGGAATAGTCAGAACACTGGTACACACATTTGCCACAAATCCTCTCCCTAGCAAAGTGGAGAGAATGCTGAAGACAAACACCAACTCTCAGATCCACTGTGCAGATCAAAGAAATGGAACAGATATCTGATACCCCTACATTTGAAGTTCTATCTATAGAGTCTGCCTTCTACCTTTATGTCTTGTGTTACCCATGAGGCATGGCACATCCAAGGAATAATGAAGTTTTTTCTAATAAAGTATTGAGGAATTTACCACTGGTAACTAAAATCCTAGATATCTTAGAGTCATTCTTAAACTGATTAATAGACAGGCTTCAAGAATTAGGGAAATCCCTCTGAATGTGTCTAAACTATGGAGAACACAGGAGGGTATGTTCTTCTGGTAAGCTTTCCATAATTTAAATAGTATAATGATAAGAATAATTGCCCTAGCAGTACTGAAGTCAGAGAATAGAAGTAATTTGTTTCTTCTCTCCTCCAGATTCTTCAAATTGTTCTAGTTTCTTCAACTCATCTGTAACACGATTGTACCAAATCAACTCAAATTCCATGCACAAGTCTTTCAAAGTCACCCTCATCAGTATCTATGAGTCTTTGCCAGTTTAATCTACTAACTAGTTTCCAGTTTTTGCCCTTTGCTACAAAGTAGTTGAGCCAAATAATGGTGGTCTCAAAGGATGGGTTTTTTCTGTAGAGTTAGCACTTGTCAGTTTGTTCTGAACTCAGGTTATCTCAAGTTCAAGGAGGGTTTTGGACTTGTATCAGTGTTTTTATGGCATCTACATTATCCTCTCACAGATTCCAAATTCACCACCTCAATCTTTCCCACCCAAATTAAACTTATCAGATAGCACTATCTGGTCCCATTACTGAAATTTTCTGCAGAATTCCTATCAAGTAGCTCCCATCTCATCGTCCAGCTAAAACTAGTATCTGTGAATCTCTGGGACTGTAACAATATAGAAAACTTAATTTTATTTCAGAATTCTCATTTCCATAGTCAAGAATATCATCAAGCTGAGGACCAAAGAAATGAAAGATCTCATAGCTGGGTCTTGAAATTCACTCTCATTTTACAGATCATTCTACTGAATTCCAAGGATCATTTTCCCTACATTTTACATGCATTCCACTCTTGTTCTGGCTCTTGCCTGTACTTGATCAAATAAAAACTTCCCATGCCAACATTCAGTTTTGCAGGTTTATTTGGCAGACTCATCCAAATTCACTGTCCAAACTATCTGCCCAAATTCACTTTTGCTAACATTCATGTGAGGCTTTTTCCAGGTCTTTGCCACCATACACCTTAGAATCTCCCATTATATCATTCCATCTACCGAAAACCCCCTCCCGTATAACTCCTGCAAATATTTGAAGATCAAAGTCAAACTTTGGGACATGCATACAGATAGGATCCTGTTCATATTCACTATATGGTTTGATATGTTGAATTTTCTAACATGTGTTTTCCAAATCACAAGAGATGTGCATTCTGTCTTTCTTCAGATAATTAGTTACCTAGAACAGAGCCCATGAATTCTTATTGTTTATTCATTTTTAATTTTTTATGATGCTTAGTCAAGATACACACACACAAGTACTTAAAGTGTGAGCCAAGCATTTATTATCTGACCATTGAAACATCTCCAATAATCACAGATCACTAATGAACCCCAAAATGCAAGCAAACAAATAACATTTTACCTGTTCCATTTTGATAAGGAAGCAGTCAATGAAATCCCGAGGATTATTTATGTCCAAGGACTCCTGGTGTTCTTTTATTTTCTCCAAAATATAACCTCTTATTTCAGCAAAGTTTTTAATGACTTTGTTATGACTCCCTGGGAGATAATCCATGAGAATAGGAAAAATATTGCAGAACTGAAAGGCAAAAGAAATTTGTTGAATTAAAAATAAGTATTAGGCCGGCGCCGCGGCTCACTTGGCTATTCCTCGGCCTGCGGCACCGGTACCCCAGGTTCTAGTCCTGGTTGGGGTGCCAGATTCTGTCCCGGTTGCCCCTCTTCCAGTCCAGCTCTCTGCTGTGGCCCAGGAAGGCAGTGGAGGATGGCCCAAGTGCTTGGGCCCTGCACCCCCATGGGAGACTAGGAGGAAGCACCTGGCTCCTGGCTTCGGATCGGCACAGTGCAGCCATTTGGGAGGGAGAACCAATGGAAAAGTAAGACCTTTCTCTCTCTCTCTCTCTCTCACTGTCTAACTCTGCCTGTCAAAAAAAAAAAGTATTAAAAAATATGTATTGAGGGGCCAGCACCATGGTGTAATAGATTAAGCCTCCACCTGCGGTGCTAGCATTCCATATGGGCATTGGTTCATGTCTCAGCTACTCCTCTTCTGATCCAGCTCCCTGCTAATGGCCTAAGAAAGCAGCAGAGAATGGCCCAAGTGCTTGGGTCCCTGCACCCATGTGGGAGACCTGGAAGAAGCTCCTGGCTCCTGGCTTCAGATCGGCCCAGCTGCAGCCATTGAGGCCATCTGGGGAGTGAACCAGCAGATGGAAGACCTTTCTCTCTGTCTCTCCCTCTCTGTAACTCTACCTCTGAAATAAATACATAAAATCTTCAAAAAAAATTAAGGTAAATTTAAAATGGTCTCCACATTGAGGTACAGCACTTGATTGTTCATATACAGTAATCCTCTACGCTGACAGAGATGTAAAGGAGAAAACACAGATCCCCTGAACAAAGACAACAATAATTTCCTCATATATCACCTTTATAGTATGAAAGCATCTTTAGGTCAATTCTTTCATTGTATACTTTAACTCGTTCCTACAATTCTGAAACACAGAAATGCATGAATTGCTCTCAGTCACATTCTGTAGATGAGGACAGAGGGTAAGGAAGGTTGGGTAATGTTCACAGAGCCACTCCCGACTATTTCTACCATTAGCAAGCACCCATGTGACTGGCAGTGGGACAAAAGACACCATAAAACCCAGTTAAACATGCTTTGGGCAAAAACCTATATACCAGAGAGGTGAATTTCCTTGTATACTACCCCACAATTATCTTTTAGGCAGAGTGTGGGCCATGCCAGTTCAACATAAGCTGAAATTTGGATGTTTATTTATGATTTATAAACCCCAGATGAAATAGTTTTGTCAGCTCTCCTTGGTTACCTCGTCAACTGGCATCCCAGGTGATTCATCAAACACACCTGATTCAGGGCTTCCTGGGAGCATAAGTGCTTGCAAACATTCTCTCTCCTTGACATTGCACCTTAGAGTATTTGTGCCAGGTAATGTGATGAAGAGTTCTCTAAGTGTTGATGACTGAACAAGCATGCAGTTAACAGAAGCTTTTCAGGAAGAACCTGAGATCTTCACTGTCACGTACATGCTTGCTGGCAATAACCAAAGAACTGCCAGGAAACTGGGTTTTCAGGATTGGTGAGAAAACCACCAGTCAAGGAAATAGAATTCCATATGTATATTCAGCTCAAATGGCACGTCCTCCCACAAAAATTTTGAAAAATCAAGAAGCAAATCCTGTCAGAATCAACTTTATCAGAATTCCAGACAACAGTCAAAGGTGTATAGCAACAAGAGAAGCCTGAATGAAAGAAAGGGCAACTTGAAAATGGTGGGAAAACTTTGTAACATTTTACTTGCCCTTGTCCCACCTCTCTCCTCAGCTTGGTAATGGTCTTATTCCCAGGGTGGGACTTTGGTTTCAAAGGAAGAGGCTGTGTTTCTCTGTCTTAACTTGTCGGAGGACTACCTGAAGGACTGACGTAAGGCACTTTTCTTTGTTTCATCTAATCCAAAACTCACTCAAGATAGAAAAGAATTTCTCCAAAACCATGTAAGGCAAATGGACAACCTGCAGCCAACCTGGGGCAATGGATTACAACTGGGGTAAATAACAGAGCTCTAAGACCAGGGTGGTGGGGGAACTGGGAAGAGAATATCTTGGAAGTTAGGGAATTCCAAAGTGCCCATGTATACTGAGGAATTTAGAAAACTATGGACATCCCATGGGCAGGCCATAGGCTAAGAAAGGACCTGACAACACACTAAACTTTCATCTCCAGTTGTCATCTAGGTTCAGTATAAGCAACAAGTGAACACCGACCTAAGGAGTACAGGGTCTATCTGTAAGACATTCAATCTTGTCTGTCTCTCTGCCCTTCTTTCTCTCCCCACTTCTCTCTCTCTCTCTTCCTCTCTCATTTTTGGCCTTCACCTTCAAGGTAACTCTGTCAAAACTAACTGAACAAAAGCAAATGGAACAGGGAATTCAAAGAACACACAGGACAAAGATATGTACTTTTTAAAATATATCAACATTGTATTCCTAAAGTTGTACTTATGAAATGCATGAAGTTTGTATTCTTCAAATAAAAGGTATCTTTGGGGATAAAAATAAAAATATGTACAGGTATAAGATCACCAAAAATTTTTAAAAACTGTACATATGGCATATGAAATACAGGAAATTTGTTCCCTTTTTATAAATAAAAGATTTTTAAAAAAATGTCAGTCACTAAACAAATAGCTAAAGCCTACAGAAGGAAAAAATAGGGGAAGGGAGCCTCTAGTGAAAACAAAAAGAAAGAAAAAGAATCTAATTTCCAGACAAGACTTTATGGACAAAACTATGAAGTGAACTGCGAAAAGTAGAGAAGGTTGACACCAATATACAGTTCTGAGTTTAACAGTAAGAAGAGGAGAAATGATTTGTCCACCAGAGAGGAACTTGGCCTCACCTGCAACCATGGGGAATTCAGAATCTTGAAGTTTTCATTGAATTTCCCCATCAAGTTCAGGAACTTTGGATCTCTATAGTCAAATCGGTTCTGGAAAATCACGGAGCAGATCACATTGGAAGGAGCACAGGCCAGGATAAAGGTAGGGTCACAGGGTGAGGCTGAAGAATGGGAAATATTTTTAAAGTAACTATTAAAATATACATACATAAGCTTGAGCCTTTGAACTAACAAGAGGAGGTAATTTTAGAATCTAAAACAATATTTCCATAGACATTACCTTATCAGCAATATCTTCAACATGCCTAGAACATCACAGCACTTCTCCCATAAACCTGAATTGACCATTTCATCACAGCTTGTTTAATAACAGTTTCCAACTTCTCCAAACACCCACTGCCTGAAAAAAATATCACTGCCTCTGGGCACAGGATTCTGACACTAGGCCCCTGTTATTTTGGAGGACAAAGGAAAAAAACTTAGAGGCCATTTTGAAAAAACAACTAATAACTCAAGTTACCAGCATAGAATTCTATCTTGAATATTATAGATAATTAGGGAAGGAAATAATTAAAGACCTGGAAACTTTTCAGGCACAATGAATATTTGAAGAAACAAGCAGAGGGAAAGACTAAAGAGAGACAGAGTATGAGAAATTCAGGAATTTGATGGAACAAACTTAGACATCAGAATCCATCAAATTAACAGAAAAACAAATATTAACCCAAATGAATACAATTATAAGAAAACAGATTTGTCTAAAATTACAGTGAAATTAAAAATTCTCATTGAAATTTGAATAAAGTGTTTTTATTGCTTTAATGTAGAAAAAATTGGATTTCTTGCCTTAGGAGATAGCATTCATCATCACCAACCAGAACCCACATTTTATTTCCTTAGACAGGCCTGTGCTCTTTTTAATCATAGATTCTGATACTAGTCAGCTACCAAAAAAAACTGTAAAATTATGAACTTTTTAATTTGATCATCATTAGGCCAATTTATAATTTTATCCATAAAGAAATTAAAGCAAAGGAAAGTGTTGGTTTTTGTTTCTCTGTTTTGTTTTGCTTTATGGTAGGCAACATTTAAATAAAATTGTTGTAATCACATGATCAATAGACTTGATTTGTAACTAAATACCAAATTCCCATCACAGATGACTTAAATCAAAAGCATTATAAAGAATTGATAAGAAATTTAAAAGTAGACATCTTATTTAGTTAACTGCTCAGGTCAGGTTCCTTTTAAATTAAAACACACTAGGGCTTATTAAGATTTCAAAAATACTTTTATTTTAGCCTAGAATGTAAGGGATAATTTGGAATTAGTAATTTGAGATCTGTGTGTATATGTGTGTGTGTGTGTGTTTATAGTGAAAATCTCATTTTTAATTTTTCAATCTTTCCTTTCACTTCACTTAAGATACATAATTGAGCCGGCGCTGCGGCTCTATAGGCTAATCCTCCGCCTTGCGGCGCCAGCACACTGGGTTAGTCCCGGTCAGGGCGCCGGATTCTGTCCCAGTTGCCCCTCTTCCAGGCCAGCTCTCTGTTGGGAGTGCAGTGGAGGATGGCCCAAGTGCTTGGGCCCTGCACCCCATGGGAGACCAGGAGAAGCACCTGGCTCCTGCCTTCGGATCAGCCGCGGCAGTCATTGGAGGGTGAACCAACGGCAAAGGAAGACCTTTCTCTCTGTCTCTCTCTATCACTGTCCACTCTGCCTGTCAAAAAATAAAAATAAAAAATTTTTAAAAAAAGATACATAATTGAAAATTAGGGTAGTTTGGAACCAAGCTGGAAATCAGACTAATTGTAATGATTGTAACAAGCACTTCATAGATGAGTAGAGCTGGTAGGGGGAGGGGGTAAATAATTATCATAAAAGAACTAATCCCAAATCATTTCTTTAAATGCACCTGGGACTTTGTTTTTATCCCATATGGTTAACCATCATAACATCAGATTTTGGTTATTGGCACTGCCATTGAGGTGCAGTAGGTTAAGCCTGCTTGCTGGCATCCCATATGGGCACTGGTTTGAGTCCCTGCTGCTCCACTTCTGATCCAGTTCTCTGCTAGTGTACTGGGAAAGCAACAGAAGGTGGCCCAAGTGCTTGGGCCTCTGCACCCACATGGGAGACTTGGATGACACTCTAGGCTCCTTTCTTGAGCCTGGCCCAGTTGGCTACTGTGGCCATTTGGGGAGTGAACCAGAGGATAGAAGATGTCTGTCCTCTCTCTCTCTCTCTCCCTCCCCCAGCCCTTTCTCTCCAACTCTGCCTTTCAAATAAATGAATGAATCCTTAGAGGAAAAAAAAAATTGTGGGCATTGAAAAGACAAGAGGTTTTTCACAGTTCATAGTTCCCAAGAGGAAGAGGCATGGGGACCATGCAGGGAAGCACCAGGGGTGGTCGGGAGGCCGAAGGAGCAAAGGGAAAGCAGGGGCAGAGCCTTTATGGGAGTTTTATGGGAAGGGATGAGTGAGATAGGGTGAGTAATCTTAGGATTGAATAATTTGAATACTTTCAAAGAGCGCTAGCTATGGGTGGGCAGTAGGTTCAGTATGTGAGTTTGATAAAAGGTGCTTAGAAGTATGGGCTCTGGATAGGCTGGTTTAAGCATCAAGGGTGTGCCATGGACACAATATTTACCATCTCTAGGAATGAGCCATCCCTTGGAGTGAATGTCCTTCCCTGTTTCCACAAGGGTACCACAGAACAAAGTTTCATAAAATATAGCAAAACATGATGAACATACAAATAAAGAGGGGGAATATAAGTAAAGCTGAAAATAAAGCCAACTTAAAATTAGGGCTGGTGCAACAAAGAGTTAAATAGGTCATTCTATTAAATAGTTAAATAAATCATTCTATATGTTGCTCTGCATATTTTTGGAGGATTTAACTATAGTATAATTGATTCAAAGTGTATGAAACAATAATTAAGCAGTTATTTAGCATTAAATAATTTTGATAGTTTTAAGATCATTTTAAGTTTTTTTTCCACAGAGAAAACATGATGGTTAAGGACTTAGTATACTAAGAGGTGCCAAGGCAATTAAAATCACAGACAAGCATCATTACTGACACATATTATAGATATAGGCCAGAGGAAAATCACCTGGACATGTGAATGAAGCTATCCTACAAATATAGATTATGTGAAAGCCTCTGTCTCGTCTCCGTGTACCATAAGGAAGTGATAAAGTCATTCCCACCATGTGCCCTGGACAATTATCCCCTGGTGAAATGTACTAGAATAGTTTTCCCATAATTATGCTATTGTGGGGGAAAAAAAGCATTAACCTTTAACTATTGGGAAAACAGGAGAGTTTGAAAACAAAGCAGGACAGCAAAGGATGAGATGAACCTTTTATTCCTGTGTGCACAGTGTGTGAAACTCAACATGCAAACATACAGAAAAGCTCCCTTGACCCTGCTTCAGAATGTCCCTTCTCCTCTTACAGGCTGACAACCAGGACCCAGAATGAAAGATCTTGCTATCCTCACAATGTATCCAGGGTCATCGCTAGAGAAGATAACATTCTCTTAAGGACATATAAAGAGTCACCCACCACTGGTTTTTCTCAGCTCCTCCACAAGGCAGCGGGCTTCCTCTTGAACTCGTTCCTCAATGCTCCTCTTCCCCATCCCAAAATTCCTCAAGGTCATGAGCGAGAAGCGCCGCATTTCTTTCCATCTCTTTCCATTGCTGAAAATGACTCCTAATAGGAGGAGAAATGAAAACTAGGAAGAGAACCCTTGGCAAGGAAGAGGAAACTGGTAACTAGAAGCCTGTGGATTGGCTCGGCTCTGCAGGAAGAGCCACTCATGTTTCTGTTCTTCATTCTCACCAAACCCATTATCATCACCCAACACACAGACACACAGACAGACACACACACACACACACACACACTTACCAGATGCTTGATTAAGTTTTGCAGTCACAGGGAAATTGGTTCTTCCAGAAAACTCCTCTCCAAGGTCAACCAAGGCTTCCTTTACTGCTTCATACCCATGCATCACCACAGTGGGCTCCATACCCAAATATACAGTGAACACAGGGCCATAGACTTTTGAAAGCTTGGAACAGAAAAGACACAAATATTAGCAAAAGAATTCACCCTTTGGTCTATATATCATTGCATGATTCAGACTGATATAACCATCATATTACTTATATTTTTGTTCTGTCAAAGACAACTTCAAATATTTCTGGATGTTACATATAACTATGATGATGGTTGCTACAGCTTCCATAAACAAAGATATTCCCAATTGCCCAGCAATTGCAGGACAAATTAGTATGTAGATTATTACAACTAAATGAACACATTGAACTAGAATTATTTGCTCTATTTTACAGATATAGAGACTGAACTTCAAAGAATTTCAAAATCCTTTCACCCAAAAAATAAAAGACCCAAATTTAAACCCTGTTTTGTCAATGTCTGATGCCTGAGGAATTTATCAGGACTCAATGCTCAAATTTGGACCTATATCCATCTACTGTAGGACACTGCCTCAGAACAAATCCCCATGGTGATCGTACTCAGGAGTCTGTGATTAACACTAGAAATCTACATTTTTTTTTTTTTGACAGGCAGAGTGGACAGTGAGAGAGATAGAGAGACAGAGAGAAAGGTCTTACTTTTTGCCGTTGGTTCACCCTCCAATGGCTGCCGCGGCCAGCGCACCATGCTGATCTGAAGGCAGGAGCCAGGTGCTTCTCCTGGTCTCCCATGCAGGTGCAGGGCCCAAGCACTTGGGCCATCCTCCACTGCACTCCCTGGCCACAGCAGAGAGCTGGCCTGGAAGAGGAGTAACCGGGACAGAATCCGGCACCCCGACCGGGACTAGAACCCAGTGTGCTGGCGCCGCAAGGCGGAGGATTAGCCTATTGAGCCGCGGCACCGGCCAAAATCTGCATTTTTTAAAGTCACCTCAGATAATCCTAATGCCGAAAACAATTTAAGATCTACTGGTATTATTAACATAGAGAGTGGGCACCACAGAGGCAGGGTTAAGCACAAGGAGATATGATGAAAAGGCAATTTAATCTATGCTCTACGCTCACCAAGTAACAGATGGCAACTTTTTGCAAGCCCAAAATTGTTCCATTACCACCCAGCAGACCTTTATTCATTCTTTCTTTCATTTGTTTGTTTTTATTGTAGAACTACAGATGTTCCCTTGACATCAACCATAATTTGCTTCCTTGTTTAATTCTCTTGGCTTATCTGAACAAAATATAATACATATACAGTAGATGACTTCTAAATTAAAGCTTCTAATCACAAACCACCCCATTACTACTTACTTTCTGGCAATAAAATCATAGAAAAGGACTGCATGGGGCCAGCACTGTGGCGAAGGCCACTGCATGCAACACCAGCATCCCATATGAGTGCCGGTTCCAGTCCCAGCTGCTCTACTTCCTTTCCAGCTCCCTGCTAATGTGCTTGGGAAAACAGTGAAAGATGGCTCAGATCCTTAGATCCCTGCACCCACCTAGGAGACCTGAATGAAGCTCCTAGCTCCTGGCTTTGGCCTAGCACCGCCCTGACCATTACAGCCATGTGTGGAGGGAACCAACAGATAAAAGATCTCTCTCTCTCTTTCGCTTTCTCTTTCTCTTTCTCGCTCTCTCTCTCTGTCTCTCCCTCTTTCTCTGTAACTCTGACTTTCAAATAAACAAATCTTTAAAAAAAAAAAACTGAAACAAAGAAAGGCAGGAGCATTTTATATTTTGACCCCACCTTACAACTTAAATAATTTCTCTACTATAAAATACATTAATATTTTTAAATTTTATTCATTTATTTGAAAGACAGAGTAACAGAAAAGGAGAGATAATTTAATTTAAAACATCAGGGACTTAAACTGGCACTGATATGGATACCAACATGGTGAGCAGCAGCTTATCTCACTGCACCACAACACCAGCCCCCAAAGATGTATGATTGTATTCCACTATTTCTGATAACGACCTCCCAAAAAATAATCCCCAGAAGGTATCTATTTTAAATTAAATATTTTAATGATTTGCCTATAGTAATATATTTTATTTAAAATAGGAGTTGATTACTTTCCTTTTGCAAGCTATGGGAGAAAAATAATGCATACTTACATTGGTTAACGATGTGCTGATGTCTTTAACATCCAACTGAAGGATATTTCCAAGAATTGGGAAAGGAGTGGGTCCAGGAGGGAGCCTCCTTCTCCCATGGCTCTGCTTCCAGAGTGAAAGGAGAAGCAAAAAGGACAGACTGAGCACCAGGACCACAACTAGATCCATTGAAGCCTTCTCTTACTGAGCTTGTAATCCTAGACTTTTATAATACTCTCTGCTAATCCTGTTCTTTTGACCAGGCAATCACTAAGCAATCAGCTACATTTACTTTAATGTTTGTTCTGAGTGGACTTTGTTCCACTGAAAAGATGGAAATAGCATGCTCTTTACTGCTCTATTGCCCTACCCTGGAAATTCCAGCATATCTAGTGTAGGGTGGGTCCCAGGCACTCTTCAGTTGCTTTTTTTTTTTTAAGTTTTATTTATTTATTTGAAAGGCAGAGTTACAGACAGAGAAAAAAAGAGAGACAGAACAAGATAGATTTTCCTTCTGCTGGTTCACTCCCCAAATGGCCACAACGGCCAGGGCCAGGCCATGCCAAAACCAGGAGCTTCTTGCAAGTCTCCCAGATGGGTGTAGGAACCCAAGGACTTGGGCCATCCTCCACTGCTTTCCTAAGCATGCTATCAGAGAGCTGGATCAGAAATGGAGCAGCCAGGACTTGAACCAGTGCCCATATGGGATACTTGCCCTGCAGACAGCTGCTTAACCTACTGTGCCACAGTACTGGTCCCTTCAGTTCCTTTTATTAAACATCCCAGGTGTTTCCCATTAGCAGCCAAAACTGAAAACTGATTAAGTAAATTATTAAATCTAAATGTTTTTCAACATCCTGGTTTCTTAGACTGATGACCAACTGGGAATTTATGATTTTAAGGGCAACCTGAATCTTCTATCTCTTGTATATAAAATAGTGTATACCTGTTATGCTTTCTCAAACACTAGAATAGTTTCCTTCGAAATGAAAATATTGGAAATATTTTGGTCTACCATATTAACATTATTAAACATGTACTAAATGGTACTTAACAGTACTAAACATGAAATACCTAAAATAATTCACACCAGTACATTTTGAGTTATTGAATATGTATCAATATTCATACCTTCCACTGTAACCATAACTAAGCGCATACATTATCACTTCTCAGCCTTTTGGCTAAGATCAAGTGTCTAAGTGAATACATTTTCTCTTTTCATATTCTTCCTTACAAAAGCTACTTCCTGGGGACCAGCATTGTGGCATAGAAGGTTATGCCACCACCTGAGAGGCTGGCATCCCAGTTTGCATCCCAGTTGAGGTACAAGTTGCTCCATTTCCAATCCAGCTCCCTGCTTATGGCCTAGTAAAAACAGCAAAAGATGGCTCAAGGGCTTGGGCTCCTGCCACCCACGTGGGAAACCTGGATGAAACTCCTGGCTCCTAGCTTCAGCCTGGTCCAGCCCCCTCCCATTGTACCCATTTGGGGAGTGAAACAGCAGATGGAAGTTCTCTCTCAATCACTTTCTGTCTTCCTTTTCTCTCTCTCTCTCTGTAACTCTGCTGTTCAAATGATTAAATAAATCTTTAAAAGAAAAAGCTAATTCTTGACCTTGTGACTAATTAGACCTACATTTAACTCAACAGATTAATAACGTTTCTGGAGAATTCCAAGGACTGACCACATGGAAGTGGCTAGAATTGCCAGATTATGACAAGAAAGCAATTTATGACCACCAAGTTCAATGCCAAAAGGAACACTGCTTGCTCAGGGATTTATGACCACCAGCTGTAAACAGTCAAGCCTTAGATCAAAGGAACCACCATCTAACCCGTTTCAAGATGGTTATTGGAACTGACCTCAGGAATCTGCCTGATAACCAACCAAGTCCTTTAGCCTCCCTAACACCCACTTACACCCCGCTCTTCCTTCAGCTAAATTACAAACTGGAAAAAGCTCTTGTGAGATAGAGGGCTGCTACCCTCTTGAATAAACCTCATTTCCTTACACCAACTCCTGTTTCTGGCAAATTGGCCTTCAAGTGACCAACAGCAAAGGCCTTTATTTTTCCTCATCAACCTGTAAACCCACTCAGGAGAGTGGGTGCACCCCCTGCAACTAACCTCATCCTCTTGGTTCCCAAGGCACCACACAATTGGCGTTGGCTTTGGTAGCACACAAGGAGTAACTCAGTCACGTTACTGGAGACAGGCAAAAACCACTCCTGTATAACAGCTGCTGACCTCATTGTTGGGATTTCAGGGACTTCCCAGCAGGCGCTGAGAGTCCTTTCTTCCTAGGGACTCACCCTTCTCTCACTGCCACAGAATCAGCTGCCTACAAATGCTTTGTTGATGCCAGGAAATTATACTTTAGGGAGATGATGGGCTACAAATTTGGGGAAGGACTTGACAGTCTTCAAGGTTGAGTAAATCTAACTGCTGTGCACACTGGAAATCCTCTATCTCTGCCTTTTGGGCAATGTGCCATTGGACCTACCTAGGTCATTTGTTTCTGGTACAGGTACTGGAAATAAGATTATAAGATGGTTGTCCAAGTCCCTCTACAAGGAGGGTTTGGTTTGGAAGAATATTCTCTTTGCTGTGTGAAAATTCCTTTCTCTTTAGTAAAATATGGGTGACTCCACTTCATCCCCATCCAAAATCTATCTGGCCTCTAACCTAGCTGATTAGGGCAGCCTATAGTCATGATACTATGACTTCAAAAAAAATGATGACACTCGCATAGCCTATGTGTTAGATTCTGTGTGTATGTGTTTGGGTCTAATGAATGAGAAGGCCCAGGGATTCATCCTTCATCTCTTTGTGCCAACTATAATTTCCCCATTGGAGACCCTGGTCCACCATTGACAGTGGGGAAGCAAATGCTCAAAAAGTAGTCAAAGAATTGTACATATGACAAGAGTCACAAGACAAATACAACAAAAAGGATTTCTCTAACCATTGGAGCACCAAATAAAGGACCTAAAATTAAGACATCCTTTTCATTACATGGAAACATTCCAATTCCTTTCCTGGAATGAGAGTCATTTGCAAACTGAATGTTCAAGCAGCATCTTCCATATGCAAGTTCCCCCTGAAATGTTGATATATGCCATTTTAAAATTACTTACTAGGTTTTCACTAAAACTTAAGGTTACCAAGGGCAAGAAATCTGTTTAATGATAATTTAAAAAGAAAAGAGGGAGAACAATTCTGTGAATAGGTAAGACACGTTTTTGGCAAGTGCAGCTATGGGACTTAAGAGATGTCTTTAATCAGAAAAAAAGTAAAACAATTTTCAGAACCAAACCAGTATAAGAAATGCTTAATTTTTCTGTCTCATTATATATGTTATATGTGTGCATGCATTGTATGTTTTATCTACATTGTAAAAATCCCTACAAGTGTTTTTAGTTGATTTAAAGATAATGAGTGGTTATCTCATAATTAATAAGACATAAATTAAAACTATTAAATTAACACAAATATCTTTTAGTTTATATGAATTAAGTGAATCCTTGATAAATAGATACTTTTTGGTAAAATAAAAACACAGATATCTTCAAAATTGTTAGCATGCATTTGTGCCTGATTTTGCTGGCCAGGCAGAATTATATTTATCTCTGCTATATATCTAAGATCATAAAAAAATTTAATCTTCACACAAGTAAAAGCACAATACAATATTCTATGTATAAAGCATAGCAAGTTAGCTTTTAAAATGATGACTATGCTTGTCTAATATCTCAGTTTCATAAGTAATCTAAGTATAATTATTAAAAATACACTAGGTACATATAAATGAAAAATTTTTCTGAAATAAATTCAAATATCCCTGGATTCTTTAAATTGTATAAAAATATGATGTATTTGGGCCCACTGACAAATATGTTTTCACAAATTTTTGATATACAACAAACAATTCAACTCTAAAGTAACTAAGGATTAAATTCCTATATATTCTTTCATTTTTTAAAAACATTTTTACAATTTCCATTTAATTGGTGACTCTCTTCCTCAACTTTACACTCAGCTCCAGTAAGCTCCTTTCCTCTCCAGTTCTGCTTCTATTATGAACTGACACTAAAAGCTTTGTTCTTAAATACCTAGGTAAAAAGAATAGCTTGATTCTTTGCTCATAGCTTTTCCGGGTGTTCAAATTGTTTCATGCAATCAGACAATGTAATGTACTTTGACATTCTAGGAATCATACTCCTTCTACTCTAAGTTTTCTTGTTTATGACATGACACTAAAAATTTTATAACAGGATAACTTGCCTTTTTACTCAAGACTTCACATTTTGGAGCCAGCACTGTAGCGTAGTAGGTAAAGCTGCCACCTGTAGTGCTGGCATCCCATGAGGGCGCCGGTTCTAGACCAGGCTTCTTCACTTCTGATCCAGCTCTCTGGTATGGCCTGGGAAAGCAGTAGAAGATGGCCCAAGTCCTTGGGTCCCTACACTCCCATGGGAAGACCTGGAGAAAGCTCCTGGCCCCTGGCTTCAGATCAGCATAGCTCTGGCCATCGCAGCCAATTAGGAAGTGAACCAGTGATGGAAGACCTCTCTCTCTCTGCCTCTCCTCTCTCTGTGTAACTCTAACTTTCAAATAAATAAATAAACATTTAATAAAAGGCTTCACCTTTTGGTAACTGACCCAGGAAAGAAAAAAATCTATTTTTTAAAATATGTGATGCTTATAACGTTAATTGAATCTGGTCTAAAACTCTGATTAAAACACCCTGATTAAATTGGTGCTTATTATTTCATGATCATCAAGGATCCTGTTTTGAGCAAATGTTTTAAGTCTTTTGATATCTTTCACAGACTTTCTCAGAATCAAAGTTCTAAATTAAGCCTTTTGACTTTCAGATTTCCAGTTGGACTCCTGGAGATCCTAAAAAGATGTATCTCTCATTTGCAGAGATAATAGTTAATGAGGCTTATTTGGCTTGTATGGAAAAGTATTGTCAAGTTGTAAGATGATGCTAAACTTAAAGCTGCATCTCTAAGTGTTATTATATAAATATTTTAGAAATTATTTAACATCTATAAAGGTCTGATGGTCCTGATGTGATGTTATCAGTCACTACTGTTATCTTAATGAAAAAGGACCTGGAGACTTTTAAAGACCTTTGAGACTGAACCCTCTCCATCACAGGCCAAGAGGCCTGAGAGGACAACAGTTTTAGGAAATCTCACCAGTGCTTTTTTTTTTTTTTTTTTTTTTTTTTTTGACAGGCAGAGTGGACAGTGAGAGAGAGACAG